ACAAATCAGCCCTTCTCTTGTTGTCTTCACATTTTTTATGCGTGCATGGCAGCAACAGCAGTCAAAGCACGTACCACACACGCCCAAAATTGAAAGCGACACAACAATCGTTTGCGCACTTTGATAGAAAATCGAAGAAAAAAAAACGGTCCTGTTTGGCACAACGAAAGTGTGGCATGCCCACATCAGCACAAGACAGCAGTGGGATTCCCTAAAAGTCGCACTTTGGGAAGGGGAAAACACAACCTCCGACAGGAACATTCTCGCCGACGTCGACCAGCACAATACAAGACAGTGCTGCTGACTTCTGATCCACCGCAACAAAAGAAAAGGGACGCCAAAATGTCTCAACAGAAGGCCTGTACAAGCAAAACAATCATGATGTGTGAACCAACGTGCTAGCTAACCAGGAGCGACGAAGGCAGGAACCGATCCAAGCAATTTAAGACCCCGTCCATGCGCACGCGTGTTATGCCAACACTGAAGCAAAGGTACGAGGTGCCTGTTTTTGAAGCGAAACGCGCGCAGCGGCGAATGGGGGAGTGGGCGTGTGAGATGTTGAGCGCATGGCTGGTATCGAGCCGAAGACGCACGCGCTAACCGGTCCAACCAGCGCTTGGAAAACAATCGGAACCCCACGTCTAGATGTCATGTACATGTTTCGGACTCCAAATCGAGATCAAGCGCGAAACACCACGAACCAAACCATTTTTGCGTAGAGCTCCGAACAAGTTGTTGAGCAAAGGCGTCTCCTCTTAACTATGCTGCTACGTACGAACTTCGCAACTCCACACCCTGACACGGCTTCTGCCAACTGGCTTACCTTCGGATGTTTCACGGGTGGGTGTGTAATCATGCAAGCCAAAAACAAGACCGAAACCATGTCTCACCGAGGATCTGTAAGGGTCTAATTAAAAGGTGAACACGTTGCCGATGGTGTCGCCGACGATCTTGTTGATGATGTATGGCTCCCCGTCAAGGATCTCGTGGATGACCAAAGCGAAGATTCCCATCTGCGCGGCACGGCCGTTGTTAAGCTCGATCGCGCGCTTCCGGAGCTTGGTCTCCTCGTCGAACGACTCCCACTGCTTCTCGAACGGGTTAATGCGAGACATGTCGCCCGGGAAGGAGCCCTCCTTCTGCTTCATCACGAAAAGCTCGAGGAAGCCGATGAACGCGACGATCTGAGCGACGCCAAAGGGGCCCATCTGTCGTGACAAGTCGCAAAGTCGCACAAGCAGTGGGATTGCGTGTCAGCTGCAAACGTGAGGCGGAACGGGCATACGCGTACACCATTAAAAAAGCAATCGTGAAACACGGACTTGGTACAACAGTACCCGCATGAGTGGCAAGCAAGCCAACGTCAATCGCCAACTTGCGCAAAGCACGGCGGGCAATGAACGTGTTTCTCGGAACTCGAGTGACAGCACGAAAGCATCCGCGGTGTTGTTCCAACTCCCCATCCCAAAACAGAATGCACCTACTCGCCGAACACGCCTCTTAAAAAAACGGTCCCGTGGCCTAAAGAAGTACAACCGAGACTTGAGCACGCACCTTGCTGATGGCGGTGAGACCGTTAGGCATGTCCGCGAAGGGGGTCTCGAAGTTAAGGTTGCCGGGCAGGCGTACGTTCTCCTGGGTGATGTGTCCCAGGATGGCCAACATACAGATGCGTCCGTGCTTGATCTCCACGTACCGGAGGCGGTCGAACCTCTCCTGGTCCGCGTCTTCCAGCCAGTAGAGAGGGTCCCAGAACCCGAGTGGGGGCTGGGCACCGAGCTCGTTCTCGAAGGACATCTTCATGGCGGAGGACGACTGGGCGCGGGTGGCCACCGCGGCGCCGTTGAAGGCGCTGAGATAACGAGCAACGAGAGAGGCGAAAGAGGCATGTCAGTACACACCACATGCTCCAGAAGGGGACTTCACAGCAGTTAGAGGTAACTTGGGCCCTTTGCGGGAAAGCAGTATTACCTTTACGAGCACTTTATGCTCCAAAACGGGCTCAGCAGCCGAGACATGGCGATGCTTGCTGGTATGCGACACGACGAACCAAGATCCGAACCCGGTACTTACATTATAAACCGTACCATCAAGAGCCTTCGGTCTAAAGCCATTTTTGTGGGGCTGGAGATGAAAATGACTGCTGCGGCATCGATCGTGATATCATCATCTCATCATTTGGGTGTTTGTAAGGCTTTGCCGGATGATATGATACGGCAAGATACTGCTGTGTCTGTCTCGAACTCGTGTTGTTAGTCATTGATGTTATGGTACCACCAACGTGTACTTGGACAACGCCGTCCGGACCAATTATTCACACAGCAAGGGATAAATAGCAAGCGCTCGCGTTGCCATGGACCACAGCATTATATACATGACATGGAGGAGTGTTGTACCAAGGGTATACTTGACGTCAAATTGACTGCTGGGGGCTCCAGACATTTATCCCCCTGACAGCAAGCATCACCGGCCCACACACAAATGTACACGAGCCTCGAAGAGAGCTTGTGCAACCGGCAGAGTAGGGTGTATCTGTCGCCAATGTGCTGACTAATGGCACACACAAAACTGCTGCTGTGAGGGGCCGCGTATCCGAGCTCGCGTGAGAATGAAAATGTCCGTGGGTCTACAGTTTTCCATATGAATATGCATACACAACACAAGTTGACAGCAGCCAATAGTCAGCACGGAACAGCTCTACGATGCCCAGCATCTGTGGTCAACAGCTCGAGATATCGGACAATACCAAACAACGACCCTGGACAGAAGTTCGTTTTTGTACTCACTTGGAGGACGTCTGAGACCGCGGCAAGCATCCGAAACTGCAGCAAGTCAACAAAATCTCGTACACGCAGACGTGCATGTACAGGAGCCGCCGTTGTTACATACTGTACAGCTGTAGAATGCATGTACCACTTTTTTCCAGTACCACCCACACGATGAATCAGCTTGTAAGGTGTAGGTACCGCAGTAGATACGGCGAGACACGACTGGCGGCATGGTGTGAGGGGAAACTCATCTCACGGAGTAACGGAGCCTCTTACGGCCGCACTATTGTTGTTGTTTCTCTCACATTAGCTCTACGTATAGTCCACAAAAATGGGGAGCCCGTGGTCGCAATGTAAATACGTAACAAACTGCACATGCAATGATATTTCTGTGTCATCATGTGGAGTATGAGCGCGAGAGCGGACTGCGCAAACCAGGGCAGAGACATGAACCTCCACACGTTCTTTACAATAGCATAACCGCGGCTTCGGCGACCAGAAACTCTGAGGTGGAGAGCTAACCAATAGGCGGTAGCTTGGGGTGTCGTAATGACGTACAACAGAGGTGGGGTGCTGTGCTGAATAGATGGGGTGATGACGCTGACCGTAAGACGACCCCAGCTACCCAAAGGGAAGTGCACGCTCTTCGTGGGATAAGAATCATCCTGCACATCTCTCGTCGAATAGCCCCATTGCTAAGCTACCAGTGGGTACTGTGACATGTTGTCGCGTCGTCAGACTCGCTCGTACGCTCATAATGTGTCTGTCGTCGTTGCCTCTCGAACACACGCCATTGGACCGCGATTTTCTTGAAGCAAAGATCGCATTGGCTCACGACTACCTGTGCAAGAAATCGACGGGCGTTTTACCGCGCCCAAACACACTGTGGAAAGACAATTTGAATGCTCTCCAGGGCCACGTCGACGTCAACCGCGTTGGAACAATAAGCCTTGGGCTACGCAACATGACCCACCCACTGGTTTCATGCACGATTGACCGAGAGGGGGTGTCGAAAACGCTCACAATTTGAGTTTGTGACTACAGAGGAGGGAGCATGCACACAAGTTTGCCAAGAACGGGCGTGTCCCTCTCACCTGGGGGCGACGAACGCGTTAGCTCCTGCCGCGCAAGCGGCCAACATAGCGATGGTGCACTTCATACTTAGTAGAGATTTAGACGTCCGGGAGAGAGTGTGAAAAGAGAGACTCGTCGAACAACAGCGGGCCGGCCAACTAATGCCTCTGGCAAAAAGGATGTTTGCCTCGGGGACCGGGGACAAAAAGCGGCGGCGCGGTACAAATTATGCCGTTTGAGTGTACGCGCCGAGCACCGAGAACCGACGAGAACCCTCTTCGCAACCAGCTTCTTCGCAGCTTCGCAGCGCGCTTCGCAGATCTTCACATAATCAATCTTCGCGCTGACCGCTTGCGTTCGCAACTCCCTCATGTAGTTACCGCCTACCGTGCTTTATGGTGTAGTGGACACGAGAAAGAAATATATGGTACATCCAGCCGTACAGCAGTTCGAAAAGAGTCGGGGTCTGTCGCTGCTTGCGGACTGCTATTGCTGTGTTCACGATTGCTGGCTGGTCATCAGCGCGCACCGAACTGCAGGCTGTCTGTTTACACCTACACCCGTGGCGAGGTTGGAGGAGAGGGAAAGCACACGAGCTTGTATACTGCGGAGAACATATTTGGCCCTCATAATAACCATGTGAGAGGAGGACGCAACATGTCCGCAAAACAAATTGCTGTACAGCTGTAGTACACGCTGCTGCTGCTGCTGTATGCATACCTGAAGAAACACGCAAGTGCGGGGACCCGGGTGCGTCGATGCTCCCATTTCCATATGCAAAACTATGCCAGGCATTGCTTGGGCGCAGACATGAGCAGGTATGTATGTCTCTCAGCTGTATTTATCCTATACGTTTCGTCACTTTTTAGCCACAGACAGCAAAGATCCGACCATCGAACACAATGTGGAGCTCCTCTCGGCTCGGCTCCAACGGCGGCGGCCTCTGAACCTTGATACCTGGTACTCCAGCAGTAAACAGCAGAAGCCCAATTCATCTAGCCTCTTTTCCGCACAAAGGCCGGATTTATCTCGCTGACCAATTGTACCACATTCGTGTTTGGCGTGCTCACACCCGCTGTTCGAAAGCGAATAAACAAAATGTTTCAAGGTATTAATATCCGGCGAGATCTACAGGACCGCAGACGCACACGACTTCCAATGGACAAGGCTTTGCTTGGGGTAAGAAGAGAGACATCAGCAAAGCAAAAACTTCGGTAAATATCTCAATGTTGCATAACACTCGGCTAATTTTTTTATGCCTAGACTACATGAGTAGTCCTTGTCCAAATCAGCTCTCGCCAATATTCCCATGCAACACCGCGATGGAACCACCTCTTCGATCGACTTGCCTCTGTGACCTTTGCTTCCCTCCTGAAAAACACAAGGTGGAATGGCGCTTCCTTGCACACGCCTCGGACGACGAACCTGGCTTCTCCACTGCATGGTTGCAACAAAAATCTTTGAAGAGGGAGGCCGACTGCAGGGAACGGGAGTACCGAAATGGTATCTTGGCTGGGTTTGCGAATGAGTTCGGCATGACCAGCATTTTCCCGTCCCGCCGTCTCGAACAAGGCGTCGATGAAGATGATGCAGAAGGCGACGACGTGGAGGAAGAACATGACCATGTTGTTTGCAATAAAAAAGGTCCTTCTACTTCTTCGCGGACGGCGCCGGGCGCATCACTGCCCCATCGCGATCTTCCGATATTACCCGAGGTGCGACGGCAGGGGGCCGACTGTTGTAGTCTATTACTCGAACACACCTCGACGCCACCAACCACAGCACGCTGGCTGTCGAAACGCACAAACACAGAGCAAACGTCTTAACGAGGCACTGTGGGTTTTCGAGCGCACATCGTGCTTGCTGTTTCTCGCCCGCGTATAACCTGACTCACCTGCACTACACTGTTAAAAATCTAAAAGCAACCTGTATGTCAGTCTGACTCTTCGTTCGTGTGCTTGATTACGTTGCTGTCGGACAGTTAGTCGTAGTCTCACCAAGATGCCATATCATCAAGTTGGTATTCCAATAAGCTATCCCAGGTGCAAGGTATCGTGATCAGCACCGCATTTCAAATTTCGATCGCGTTCGCGTACCCCCGACATATTCACCTGCGAATCACCTGAAGGATCCGCCAATATCCACCGTGGTCAAGACGCCCGCTCTGCCAGCTCTTGTTGCTGCTCTCAAGAAAGGGGGAGTTCGTGTGGATGACCTACAGGTACACCAGTGTGTTGAAGTGTGACGAGTTCGTTACTTGAAGCTCCTCGAAACAGCACGAGAGGCCAAATGTGGTAACCTTGGGTCGCGGCGTACGTTGTCCATATCCTCTGTGCGGCCGGGTAGGGTGGAGACTCAAGGCATGCGGAAGACACAGGATCATGGGATGGCGTAGACTTGGCGTCTTCTCCCTGCTTACAACAATACATGGTGGGAGACAACATCGAAGATGTCGAAAGCGCTGCGGGCAACGTGGGTGTGCAAGAACGGGTGTACGGTCGACCAAGCACGGCGCAAGTCCCGGTCAGACCGAGCACGCCCCCGACACTTTTGGTTTACAAGCCTTGCATAAGGTGGGTAGAAGCGCACCGAGCAAGAACAATGGTGTATTCTCGACGGGTCCACCCCGTTCGATCGCCGAAACCGCTAACTCTTTTCGTTTTGTTGCCGCACACTCCACAGCATCAAGGTTGCCGACAACGTGCCGAGCGAGCTCCAGGCCATGTCGAAACTGCTCGAAATGAAGGAAAAACGGTGAGTGTTTATTGGTGCTTTGGACGCAAGCAAGGGGTACCGATGTTTGGGGTGCTCGGCAGAGTATACTGTCTACGGGACCTCCGGGGGATACGCGGATGAAATGTGTTGATGGGCATGCTGCATGGCGATGGTGTTGCCTACCGCATGTCTCTCACTCTCTAATCAACAAAGGTCTTGAGTCAACCTTCTTTCTCTTTCGGCCTCTGACGGGCTACCGCACCCAAACACAATATATTGTATGGCCTGGTGTTGGTAGTGGGTATTGGCGTCTGAGCTGTATGTGCCGGGCCAATGGGGCGGCGAATACGATATATATAGCTAAGCTGGGACGTGGCCAACGGGGACGGGACAGCACGGCAGCGGGTAGTGTATAGCTGGGACGGTGGCCATCGGGGACCGGGACAGCAGGGGGTGTATTGCTGGGACAGCGCTTCAGGGCTGGGACAGCAGGGTACGGGATATTTTTCAAGTGTAGACTATGGCGGAGAGAAGCGGCGGAATAGGAAGAGATTCGCAAAGGGGGGAGACTACAGTTGTGCGCATCAAGATGGAGGAGAGGTCGCGCAACGCAGCAGAGAAGCTACGAGCTGCCGAGTCGGAGGTGGAGAGGCTGGTGAAGGTGCTCAGAGCTGCGGAGGCTGCCGAGTATGAGAAGGAGAGACTTAGGCGGCAGCAACAACAACAACAACAGCAGCAGCGATGGAGTGCTCAATGGCAGCAGCAGCCATCGCAGGTACAGCAGTGTTCTCGTGGTGGTTTTGTCCCTCAGCAGAACCAACACTGCGTTTTCACTCAGAGCCACCAGGCGCGGCAGCACCAGCAGTTGGCGCGGCAGCAACAGCAGCCGCCGCCAACCGGAGTTGGTGGGATATATGACTGCGGGAGCAACGCCGTGTATTTCCAGCAGGAATCACCCCCTCCGCCTGGCACGGTATACCATTGCACTCGGTGCGGCAGGAACGGCCACCGCGGCGAAGAATGCGCCGCACCCCGCAGGTTCGAGGGTACGTGCGGCGCCTGTGGTCAGTACGGCTATATGTGGCGGAACTGCGCCGTACATCTTCATGGCAGCAGCGGCGAGGATGACGGCCGTATCGTCCGCAGTGGCTGCTGGATGGGCGTCAATGGCGGCGGCAGCTGCATGGACATCGGTGGAAGCTCGGTCGTACAGCAGCAGGTGGTGGTAGAGAGCGAGTACCGCTCTGATTTTGTCGACCTGGTTCACGTTGGCGGCGAGGTGATGGCAGAGAGCGAGTACCGCTCTGATTTCGTCGACGTGGTTCACGCTGGCGGCGCTGTGGACGGTGATGATGACGGATGGTTTGGATGGAATGATTCTGTGGACATGGTTCACGCTGGTGGCAGTGTCTGCGATGATGTTTTCCCCGCCGCTGGGGCGGGAGAAATGGCCGGAGCGCCTGCGTTGGCGACTGGAGTGGCGGCATCGGCAGCAGCTCCAGCGGCGACGGCGGCGATCTCCGGCGGCAGTGTTTTCCCCGCGGCGGCGGCGGGGGGAACGGCCGGGGTCCCCGCGGTGGCAGCACGAACGGCGGCATCGGCAGCAGCTCCGGCGGCGATGGCGGCGACCTCTGGCGGCAGTGTTCCCCCCGCGACGGCGGCAGGGGGGATGACCCGAGTCCCCGCGGTGGCAGCACGAGCGGCGGCATCGGCGGCAGCTCCAGCGGCGACGGCGGCGACCTACGGCGGCGGTAGTGTTGTCGCCGCGACGGCGGCGGGGGGAATTGCCGGGGTTCCTGCAGTGGCGGCAGGAGCGGCGGCATCGGCAGCAGCTCCAGAGGCGACGATGGCGACTTACGGCGGCGGTAGTGTTTCCCTCGCAGCGACGGCGGAGGAAGCGCCCGGAGGGCTCGCGGCGACAGCTGGAGTAACGGCATCGGCGGCGGTTCCAGCGGCGACGGTTGCGGTGCCCGGCGACACTGTTATCTCCGCGACGGTGGCGGGGAGAACGACCGGAGCGCCCGCGTTGGTGCTTGGAGCGTCGGTATCGACGGCGGTTCCAGCGGCGACGGCGGCGGCACCCGACGGTGTTGTTTCTCCCGCTGCGGCGGCGGGGAGAATGGCTCGAGAACCCGGGCAGGTGGCTACAATGACGGCATCGGCGGCTGGAGTGGCGACATCGGTGACGGCACCACCCGCGACCGCGGCGATGGCACCGGCCGCTACGATGGCGACCGTCGGTGACGTTCCCCCCACCGTATCGGTTGGGGGGACGGCCAGCAACGGGGAAGCGGTGGTCAACGGCATTGACGACGACAGCGATGATGGCGGTTGGTTGCGCAGGTGAGGTTGATGGCTGCTGGGATGACAGCGTCTGTGGCGAGAGGGGGGCGTCCACGCACCCTTTCGATCCCGGCACCGTGTGTTCGGGGGTGCGCGGCGCCAACTATCCCGGGGTGGACGACCTGGTCGATGGCTCCAGCAGCAGTAGCGGCAGCAGCATCGGCAGCAGTAGCAACGACGAGGCAGAGGGGATGGATGTGGCCTGGTTTGGGGCACTGCTGCGCCCCTTCAACCCGGGGGAGCTGTGCCGGCTGAAGGCTGGGAGAGTGGGGCCGGTGATGGGGGTGGACACCCCCGTTCGACCGTGGAAAGATGTCGCGGGGGCAACGGCCGGGGAGCCCGTGTTCGCGACCGGAACAACGACAGGAGGATCATGAAGCGGGGAAGGGAGTTCGGAAGACCGGGCGAGTCCGACAATGACGGCAAGCAGCGCGACTTCTGCTGGGGTCTCAAACTCGCCAAGGCACGTGATGTTTGTTTGCGTTTTCTTCTTGTCATTTTTCTATTATTTGTTGTGTGCAGGATGTTGTTCTTGTGTTTTGATCTTCAGATACAATGCTGCACTTTTCATCGTTGTTTGAATGTCTGCAAATCATTTTTCCTATCGTTGGCACATTTGCAGGTTTGGATTTGCTTTTGTTTTGTTCTGTAGAGATACCCACCCGCGTTTTACCTTGCAGGGACACTAATTCCCACGGCCAAATGGCAGGGAATTTCCATGGCTGATTATTGTTGTTTTTCTGGGAGGCAAATGGAATGTTGCGGCCGGGGGGCTGTTGTTTGCCAGGAAAATATCTCAATTGGCGGTGGTAGTATAATTTCTCGTACGGTTTGTTCCACTCTGGTTTTTCCATCTTTGTTGGGATAACATTCTCTATGGTAGTTACTGCTATGTTTTTCTGATGGTACTGGATATATGTAGTAGGCGTTGGCTTGGCGTTCGACGTGCTGGGTAAAGACGTTGGGGGGCACGCACCGTTTCTCTGTCCCCCCGATGTACCGGTACCCGACGAGTCAATCCTTGCGGAATACCAATTTTCCTTTCCAAGTAGGCCTGTACGGCAGACTGGTATGCGCTGGACGTGTGACGTCTTTTCTTTGATATATTTTCTTTTCTTGTTTCGGTTTGGAGTTGATGAAGTTCGATGCAGAATTAGCATGCTGGATTTTGCGGAATCACGCCTGATTGTTGCACTGCTGTCGGAAATCATGGGGGGGGGAATGTGATACCATGCTGTCCGCTGCAGCACAACAAGCAGTGTTTCTGACATCGGGTGGTAGTTCATGTTGAGATTTTCCGTGTTTTCCCTGGGGATTTTATATGGAATTGATGTTGGCTAATGGGATTTGGGTAGTTCGTGTTTGGATCGTTTTCCGCGTTTTACCTACGGAGGTGACATGGAATTGAATATTGAATGGGATTTTCGTTGCGTTTATATGAGATGTCCCAGCAGGGGGGATGCGGGATTATTGATTGTCTGTTTTGTGATTTGTTGGTTTCTTCATGTTTGTTTTGGACTTGTTTGTTTGGTTTCTTCGTGTTTGGGATGGATGGATGTTACAGCAGGGGGGCTGCTGGTGGACTGGTATATTTGTCAAGGTATTATATTGGAGGAAGGATTTGGCATGTTCTCGTAAGTCATGGTTGAAGCCTTTGTGTTTCCGAAGGTTATTTGAGCTGGTCAATGAGTTGAAACATGAATGTTTATCTGAGGAATTTATTCTGAGTAAGTCAGGACGTTGGACACATTTTCCCGGAGTTACCCGTCCCCGTTCTGACGTGATTCTGATGTAATGTGTATCTTTGCTGGGTATTTTTCCAAGGGTATTTGTTTGTGTTTTGACTTCTTGAGAATTTGGTAAAGCATTTTTCTCAAGAGGGTGAAATGTTTATTGACAGACCTTTTAGGAGATAGTTATTTGATATCATCAGAACATTTGAAAGATTTCGTAGAGCATGTTTTATTGGGAGATCGACAGATTTCGTAGAACATTGTTTTATTGGGAAATTGTTTGAAATGGAATGAATGGTGGATGATTTCCGTTTGGATGCGTAGTTTGATTTATCGCCGTTTTACCTGGCAATGATAGTCGTGACGAGGATTTCGTAGATCGTATCTCGTACCGAGCAGGGGGGCTGTTTGGGGTGCTCGGCAGAGTATACTGTCTACGGGACCTCCGGGGGATACGCGGATGAAATGTGTTGATGGGCATGCTGCATGGCGATGGTGTTGCCTACCGCATGTCTCTCACTCTCTAATCAACAAAGGTCTTGAGTCAACCTTCTTTCTCTTTCGGCCTCTGACGGGCTACCGCACCCAAACAACCGATTACAGGTTTCTCTGCGCTGTGTATTGGGGATAGTTCCAACGTCTCTGAAGTCGTGACTATCATTCGTTCGTCCGTCGGACTATGCGTTTCAAGGTAGATTATTGCTCGTGCGCTTTAACCATTATGCAAGCATCGGCTTTGTCGGTGCAAGGTCCCTCGCAGCTGGAAACAAACTAGGAAAAAAGATCTTCTGTTGGAGCACGGGACAATTCAAGCCGTTCACCAGGTTCGACTCGCCAACCGTGCCACGAACTCTAGCTGACGCTCGCCAGCCCTCACTGTCTGCACCTACAGGATAGAGGGACCATCGTCATCAGAAACGACTGACCCTCAGCCTTCCAGTGAGGTAGAAGGAGCATTTGAAAGAAGCGCTATGACGAGACTGAAAATTGGAATGCCAATGAAGCAATTGTCGCCGACACGCCCGAAAGGCTCTCGCAGCAGGTATCAACGTTTTTTGTTGCCGCGTTGTGTTGGCCGCATGACAGCATATAAGAACACCAAGCACAATATGACGAGATGTGGTGGTAGCCCACAGTGCAGCAGCCGTGAGTAAGACTCACCATACCACTACACTCGAGGTTCCTTCAGAATTTTTTGGGTTAAGAGAGGCGTTGGGGGGTTTGACGGAAGTGTCACTCGGCCAGCCGATGTTCTTGGTCGAATATGATGTGTTCCATATCCATCTATACTTTCTACGAAACTTCTACGGTGCGCGAATTGATTGTTTCGTTATAGCGCTCAGAGAATGTCCGTCAACAGGGGGCACCATGCTGATGGCTATCGATTATTGAAACAATCAGCAGGTCAGGAGGCAGAGCCATGAGAAAGAAAGGACCGGAAACATCAAGGGAAGTTCCCAGCCCACCAACATCTCTCCAAAACACTCCACGCGAACCGGTGGGCTTGTTTTCGCTGTCTTGCTATCCCCGTATTCGTACTTGGTTCATACGAGCAACGTCCTAGCATACCCAGCGCGCGTTTCGCACACGCGGAGAATATGTCAGGCATTCGGGGTGATCACCACAAATATACCGTTGGCATGATGCCCAAAGATCCGGACAAAGTTGTTGTACCGTGTCTGCCGTATCGTTCTCAACTTCTGAGCTTAGCACACCACCTACACGTCAGCTATTTAGCCAACTACGTTAAACGCTTTGACGTATGTATGTCATTTCTCGACCTGGTTGGGGTACCGCAGGCGAGCCATCGTACACCATACGGCAAGGCCTGGTACATTAATCCAGAACTTTGGGGCTTGGGATCCTCGCCACAAGTAGAGAGCGAGGTTCTTGAACAAGAAAGCGACAATGCGGACGGTGGGTTTTTAGACCGTGTACACAAGCAACATAATCGCTGATTCAAAGTTAACGTGCGCACAACGATGTTCCTTGCCACAAATGTTGATCTTCTACACATGCGTTCAGGCCTACAGATCTGGGACCAAGTTCTCCATGGACCATCGGTTGAAGGTCGATGTGAAAATGGTTCGTTGCTGAGAAATGACCCTCGTTGTCATGAACCCCTCTACTAATAGTTGGCGCGCACCTTCATCTCTGGTGCTACGTTTTGTCGGTCTTGGCCTCTGCCAAGTACACTGGCATTGATTTCTATGCTGCCGGATTGTTTGTTGTGCAAAACAATCATGTGTGGCGTCCATTACCTTCACGCGGCTTGAACCCACCATACCTCAGGGGCGAAGCAACCTCTGGCTCACACCATATCGATGAAGGAAAGGATCCCGGGCCTGTTCTCCGCCATTCGATTCACCAAATACATCCGCCAGCAGGTATGAAATCGCTCAGGGGAGGATACCCGTGGGAGAACTGAAACAGCATTTATTTTCATTTCGCTCATCTCAACAATTCTGTACGCAGTCCAGTCTCTCCTGCAGCCACCGTGGACAAGCTTCGGCCACACATGCATAGAAATCTTAACTCTCCGCAAGACTCCCCTGCTTTCTTTTGAGCTGCAAGTCTTCCGCTTTGGTCGCCATGGGGGCTCGGCAATCCTCTCGCCCTCGTTTGCTACTGTGATAGTCTAACGCGTTGATGCGTGGCGCTGAGATTTGAAGCCATGAACTCTGACGACCCGAGGGTTCGAAGGGTGCATTCAGACAACGGGGGCGACCCGCCGAGCATTTGTGTAGTCTGCTGTCGCAGGTTGGTGGATATTTGGAAAACTAGTCAGGTTTGTGCCTTCCCAGCCATGCAGACCTAGCTCAGGTTGAATCTGCTCCATACGAATAAACCTACCAGAGCCACTTTTTTTTACCGGAACCGCGTTTCTCTGATCCCGCCTTGGGGCAACTCAACTTTCACTGCCCGGTGAAGGGCGTTCGTATGCCGGCACACCTCGAGAGCACCGACAACGCAATTAAAGCAGAGGAGGCAAGAGTGAGGCAACGCCGGCAAGCTCGAACGGCTCGTCAAGACCAAGATGGAGTCGAAGAGGACGTGTCAGCAGAAGACCAGGAGAATGCCCCTGCGCCCACGCCGACCGCAAGCCGTAGCAGAGCATGGCGCCCCCGAGTGGACGCAGCCATGGTCTTAAAGAAGGAACGGAAACGGGACCCTGACGAGAAGAACCGGGAACGAGTTGACTCAAGCGGCACAGCACCAACAGATCGGGGGCGACAGGAAGTGGGGATACGTGCGGCGTGCAGTACAGCTGATGCGTAGTTCCACAGCCCCAATTTTCGTTGTTGTAGCGGGATGAGGACATGCGTGGCACTTCTACCGAAGGCGTGTTAGAAGCATTCACAATGAAGATGCTTTGATTTACTGGAGGCGAAAGAGAGTCAAGAAGAGCGGAGGGGGGGGCGTACCTCTCTTTGGGCTAGTGGAAAAAGAAGAACCTTCGAATATCATATTTCTGGCTTCACGTCATGAAGACATATCGCTGAGGTTTCAAGTCTTCCGTTGCCGGAGGGGGGGGGCGTACTCTTGTGTTTTGCATGCCTTAGCGGTTAGACCATTGACCACGCGTCCTCGAGAGGTCGGTGCATTGTTTCCACAGGACCAATCACCGATGGCCAATCGTTTCTTCCTACTTTGACAAAGGTGGCTCAAAAATGTCGTCCCTATTAGTCTATCTATCCTATCGATATCACTTCCCGCCTTTTCAACCCACTTCCTATGCCCCAGTACGGCTACCGTCTTTTCCTCGCTATTCCATGACTCAAATGTCTCTCCGTACCTTCCTTTTATTTTTCCCCGCTCAATCATGTACACTTCCCTCTCCTTGTACAACGAACACTCCGCAGCTACATGAACCCTAGGGGGGGGAGGATTTTCTGAACAAGTATCTATAGTCCCGGGGGGCAACTCACAGATGTTACCACGCACCGGGCCATAGTTTATGGGGGGGGCAACTTGAAGCAGGTTACGTACACAGACTCCACCAAACCGGCATTGGACGTGACGCGTGTGCTCTGCTCTAGACAAAAAAATCCCACTTACGAGTAAGAATTGCTCGGTAGAGTTGGCAGAAAATCCGTTCAACGGCAGCGTGTGCACGGCCTGTGGATTGGAATACTGTTGAGGCCGGTTGCACCAAGGGTGGTTGGCACATTCGACACATAGCGGGAACAGAGGATACCGATGCCAGCGTTGCCCCCCTCCAACTCATTTTTTAGTCCAGGTCTGGTCCTAGTGTCAGAGAGAAGCTGGTTGAGCCAGGAACCCGTGACTCGTACTAAAGACGCGGTCAATTCAACAGGGGAGGAAACATCGGAGACACTCCAAGAGGCCACCGACTACGGAACGAAACGTTTCCTGACCATCAGTTTTGATCGTTCAGCGGTGACGTGATCCTCACTGAAGTGGTTGAGGCCACTCTCACTCGGGGCTGCAGGCATGTCTGCACACTTCGGGAAGTCGATGTCGCTCGGGGCAGTAGCTACTTACGAGAGTGAAGTGCACAGCATAAACTCGCTTTGAAACAGCAATCCAATATTTCGCCATTCCACACCATTTACAAAGAAAACATTACTCCCCCAGTGCCTCCTGCTAAGCGTGGAAAACCAAGAGTACAATCTAGTCTAGACCTCCTACTGGAAGTCCTTGAGTGAAGAAATGCCCATCGCCTCCTTGGCCCATCCTAAGGTCTCAGAAGCCACCTCGTCTGCGGCCTCCGCGCCATCTCGCAGCACCTAACACGGCAGAACAACCATATACGGATCAAAGTGGGATGAAAGTGCGACAGTGTGCAACGGCGTCGTCACCCTGTCCATACACCACACCACCAAACAATTTCGTATCCGGACGACTTTGAAGCTTAAGCTTTCAAGTGGGTGACGTGGATGGCTGTATCCTAGCCACCAGTGTTCGATGGCAGTGTGACATGACATGACATGACATCAGATGGTGGCGTGACATGACTGACCTTGTTGAGGTACGAACGATCCTCAAGGATATCCTTGTATCGCGCCTGTAGAGGCCTCTGTATTCCGCACAGCCGTTGCGTCACGCAGGTGGCCAGAGAGAAGCGAACGGGCAGGGTGGCGGGGGGGGGGAGGGGGAGGGGGAGGGGCAAGGGACGTGGCCATTCAGCTTTAAACTCGCTTTGCGGCATGCGGCAGTTTTCAACGCAGCGCACGCGAGAAAAAAATAGGGACGAAACCCCAAACCTAACACCTGTATGCAGACTTGCAGAATGCGCTCCACCGTCCGCAGCAGAGAAGATTATGGGTGCTTGAGTCGGCACTCCAGTACTGTACTGCTGTATGGCGTCGATCGTTTCGTTGAATCATTCCGTTTTGTTTCTTTGCGCACACCCATGTCGATCCAAATTTCGTACCGACTCTATGCACCGCGCCAACTCAAGCGTCCTTTCGCATACAACGTATCGCCATGAAACAAAAACACACATTATGATTGAGATCGTTACATTTGTAAACTCACAAGGTGCTCCACAGTCGCATCCGCCAGGAGAGGCTTGAAAGTCCCCCAGCTCATGTCTCCAACCTCCAGGGAGACCTCTTCGCGAGTTTTGCCAGTCACCGCCTGTTGCACGTACCGGCGAGGCACAGCAAGCGCGTGTACAATACACCCGGATTTCCACTTCTCAACACGTCTCCCACGCGAAAGGAAATGAGTCCTAATGCCAACTGTAGTATACCCTACCAGCGACCGATCCGTCGAAAAAAGTGCTTTGCGACATCGACCTGAGGGATGGTCGTGCCCCGCACAACCACCGCTACGCACAACATGCGGAAATAATCCCGCAGTCTTACGCCAGCGCGTTCGCGACTGCTGACAGTCGGGGCCACTCCCGCTGCCCTCGCTTGGATGGATTCGCTCACTTGGTAGATGGTGAGGAGGTTGGTGCACTCGGGGCGGTCGGGGTTATCCCACTCCAGACCTTGATGCATGTCTGTCTTGCACCTGCGAAGCTGGCGGGACAGAATTTCGTTGACACGGCAAAGTAAACCAAGGTATGTTGTATCGGGTGAGACGATTGGATACACTTCAATCGAGGCTACGGATAGTTTTACATCATTCGGGAATCGAGCATTCGCCGTGCCGGTGTCTTAGTTCGGAAACAGAACCTGCTCGTGTGTGCAGCCATCCACCCCGGGTTCCACCGTAGGAATGGTGTTATTTGCTGAAAGTGAAGTCACCCTGGACTATCAACCCTGCGTACACTAATGACTGCACGCGTTGTGCATGGAAAAAGTGTACCATGGTAGTGTATGCATCACGTCACTTTTATGGGAAACTCAGCCCCTTCTGAGCTGTACATAGCTTCGCCGACAACGGACGATGGACGACATACCAGCCCCGGAGCACGCCTAGTTCTATTATTGGTATCCACTGTACACTGTACACCACGAAGGGCGGAACGGCAACCCCACACACTAACTCAGTCGGGTGCTGATTACTGCACACACAGCAGTACTTGCCTTCTTGGCGATAACATCCGGCGAGTCCGTGAGGTTGATGCGGCTACCCTCCACAGGGTCAGACTTGCTCATCTTCGACGTGCCGTCTGTGAGGGACATCACGCGGGCGCCCTCCTTCACAATAAGAGCCTACACAGCAGTCACCAGTCGTTGGGAACACGGGGAGTATGACGTGATCCGGGAAGTGGGGGGGACATGGACGTACGAAAGTTTTGGGTCATGCTTTTAGGGCATGTTCTTCCGCACCATATCCCGCTACGCGTGGGGGGCGCGGCATACGAACGGTGGGGTAAAAAAATGTCTGGCACGCTCACGACGGGCAATATGAGACAAAACTGAATCTACATTTATTGTGTACATCGGACCGATGCTCGTTTGGTCAAGATGAGCTGCATGCTACAGGTGTGTACCCTGAGGGATAAGTGATGTACTGTACCTGAGGGTCCTTGAAGGTTTTCCTTCTTCGCTTGCAGAACTGGTCGTTAAACCTGAGCAGTGGTATACACAGAACGTAGCGGGGAAGTAGAAATACTTCTGATTGTATATCGAGCTTACTTTTCATATTTGCCGGGACACGTTCCGGCTTTAACGTCTCAGGTGCACGTCACTACGCGAGTCATGATTATTACAGGCTTCGGTGTACAAGTGTTTCCACCAAGCAAGACCACCGACATAGCAATGCCGCCCTTGCGGGAACGCCTAGAAGCACAGGGTAATGGACATCTACCTAATTGGAAAGGTGACCAAGAGCGCGCGCTGCTGTAGTACTATAACTGCACCTGCGTGCAAGGTCTCTCGTAAGCTCTAAGTGCTGTCGCTGATCCTCCCCAACAGGGACCAGGTCCGGTCGGTAGAGCAAGATATCCGAAGCCATGAGTACCGGATACGTCAACAGCCCGGTTCCCACGTTCTCGCCCTGCATCGAGTTGATCGTTTGTATCGTACATGCGGCAGCAGTGTATTGTTTATGGATAGTTGATTTGCATTGCAGGGGAGTCAAGGGTAGGCAGAGACTCCCAGTATCGTGTATGGAAGCAAAGACCAGTAGAAACTGCGCATTTGCAAAACAATGTACCCCTCGTGCCTGGTACGCGCCACCCTGTGAGCTTACCTATATAACCTACACATTTTGTACCTGCTTCGTTTTCTTTTCCTTGAACTGGATCATCTTCTCCAGCCAGTTGATGGGAGTTGCGCATGTCAAAAGCCACGTTAGCTCCGCGTGCGCACCTACGTGTGACTGCCGTGAGAGCGCGAGGAGTGTGACGAGACGATCACTTCAGTAAAGAGAAACCCAGCCGGAACGTCAAAGGCTCATGGCTCATGTTGACAACTACGGGTCTCGAGCACAGCATAGCACGCCCAACGGACTAGACTGCATTACAACAGAACAACGCACCTGGACGAACACCTTGGACTTTTCTGGGTCTATTCCAGCCGCAAGGTACGTCGCGGCAGCATTGATCACTCCTGCTTTGAGGTTCTTTGGATCCTGAGGCACGGTGATGGCGTGCAGGTCCACTACGAAGAAGAAGTTGTCGTACTTGTCCTGTGTTTCGGAGCCAAGGCACGGCAGAGAAGAATGTTTTAGTTGCTCAATATTGTGTCTACATCAGAGGGTGCTGGACGACAGGCTTCGGAAGGCTTGCTTTCTATTGAAAGAGCAGCCCCGAGTATGTCTTCTTTCCTGCACGGACCAAACATGCAACGAGGTCTGCATTCTTCAGACACAGTGGTGATACACTTTGGTGCTACATGCACGCTGAGTCACCTTCGGCCCGTCATGAGCACAACACTCATTGGCCGCAGCTGCAGCCGACAGACAAGACTGCGTTTGATGCTGTGGAACATTTCCACCGCACAGGAACAAGGGTCAGGTCAAGCCAACACACGAACGACACTCTTGCGACAGCAGTGCCAACGAGCGTCACGTGTGCTGTTGCTTGACGTGCCGCGGACTCGCACACCCACGACATCCGGTACATCCACAACTTGGAAGCGACACCCGAGGACTCTTCAACTTTTTTTTGCGAGACGAACATGATGTTCCCCACCTGGTTGTCGACCCACTGCTTTATGGCCCCCAAGTAGTTGCCGAAGTGGAGATTTCCTGTGGGCTGCACTCCAGAAACGATGCGCTTCTTGACAGGCACCTTCAAGCTGGTCTCTTTACCCGGGGCGACGTCTGTGCTGCTTGCGACCTCGGAAGCCGACATGGACGTCATGCCTGGTCAAGTACGCGTCGGCAAGCAACGCAGGCATAAGAACAAGCAGCAGCTATTGTCTACTGTAGGCAGTTGCTATTGTCTAGGCATGCATTTTAATCCTGATGAAACACGGTGCCCAGCAGCTAGAACCACCTGTGTGACACGCACTCGTTTAGTATGTACGACATACGATAAAGCACCCCGGGGATATCATGTAGGCTTTCAAAAATTTGTATCACCGGGTGTTGTATTCTGTGTGGGAGGGGTGCTATCTTGTGAGCCGGGGTGATAACGTGCAGGTCGCGGGAGCCATGAACGGGGTGCAGTAACCAGGGGGTGTGATACCACTATAGCATACTTGCAGGGACTGAAGTTATGTGGAAACTAAGGGGGGTGTTAGCACCGCCTGCAAAGAATCACCTACTGCTGTGCCTGCGGCTACACGAAGGGGGGGTGGTATTGAGGGAGGGTGATGCCACCACTGCCTTAAAAATACTATCGCATTGCTGTCGCACTGGTATTGCTTATGGTACTAAGCAGGGGTGATAGCACTGACACCACTGACTACAGCAGTGAAGTTCCTGCCGAGCGTGCTTCCAGTCGTGCGGAAGTGAGGGGTGTGGGGGGGGTGTTATGCACATAACCTCGGCATGAACGTCAACAGCGCTCTCTTCGGAACAGCGAAAGAGAGCGTTGCAAAAGAGGTTTCATCCATCACTACCGCTTGGCACAAAGAACGTGGAATACAAATAAGGCGGGGGAGAAATAAAGTTGGTTGGTTTGCATTGAAGGAACAAATACGGGGTGATTCCCCCGCACTCAGAAGGTGTGTTGCGCATGTTCCTTGGCCATCTTGCATGTTATCAGGTACCTCTGCTGAGTCATCACCCGGGTGATGGTCGCATGGGCTCCGTGATTACACGCATCACCTCACGGGGCTCCTAGTTTGAAATCCAAACATATTAGCACCGGGTGTTGCTGTATCTGTGCGGGGTGTCTCTATCTTATGTCGGTGTGTTCTATTGTGTCATCTGGTACGGTATATGTGCTGCTGCGTTTGTACAGCAGTAGTACAATACGATACATACATAATTGTGCCTTACAGAACCAGGTACCCAAACTGACTCTAAGTATCATGCATCCCTTGGGCCGGCACCTGGGTTGTTAGTGGGCACACTTTCCCGTCAAGTCCGAGCAAACAACCAATCGTATGCATAGCACACGCGATTGAACGATAACGAATACTGCGCAAGCTCTCTCAGTCCCTTTGTCTGTTTGACACGAATCGCGCGAGCGCTGCGGCACCGCTGATGATGCAGGTATGCATTGAACTTGGGAGTGTGGGAACATGTTCTGTGCCATGGACGCTAAACCGAAAAATCGATGCCTCGCCCATCCGATAGAGACAACATATACTGCATACATGATCCTACACACGTCAAACGTCAACGCTCATCACACACCTGCGCGACCTCGCTGCTGCCCGCCCTTGCGCAGCCAAGCGCGAGGTGCGACAGCTTGAGTACGTACGACTCTGGCTGGTGACGTTCGCAGTGACGTTCGCATGCCGACACCAAAGGACGTGCCTGACACGAGACAGCACGCAGCCATGACTAGTGCCCGGACTAGTGTCTCGTTCCCTCGGCGTCCGCGTGGTGCCATGACTTTGTGTGCGGTTCGCACAGAAGGTGTGGCCATTTAGTTGGCTTGTTGGCTGTTGACTGCGGTTGATTGCGCCGCCTCTCATGGGTTATTGCGCCGCCTCTTTCGCGTCCACGACGCTCTGCGCTCTCCCACTCGTCACCCCCTCGTGCATCAGCACCTCCCTTTTGAACGCGGTACTGTCAAGGCAGAGTCAGTCAATATGATCGTGCGAAAGGCGTTGATGCTCTTGTTAAGTCTGGTGTGTGCAGCAACGGACTGCTGTACAATCGACCCGAAGTTAACTTCGCTAAGGGGAGGAGGAGGACGCCAGGCTTGGATACAGGATTTTTGTCGCACCCCAGGCAACGAGTTCTTCGCAGAGGTGGGAACGGTGCCACCTACCTGGTAGCTACAGCAGTGTTTGGTTGGGACAGCTCTTGCTACAGTGTGGCATTCCATGTGAAATCCTGGATGGAATCCATTATGTGTCTGCTTGACAGCAGTGGTAGACGATGTACTACATGAAATACCACGGAGAGAGAAGCTGTTGCACGTCGAAGTTCAATTTGGGTACACTGCTGATGCTGTACCCACGAAGGTTCTGGTGTTGGATCTCGGGGAAGTGGAGATAACCCTCAACTAGCTGCATCAGTTACTTTCAAATGCCGCCACCGGTCTAACCTACATAATAACTCGATTGTCTCAGGTCCCGTTGAGCTTCATACGCGAGAGCATGAATTCAATCGATATCGGAAGGGGGGTGGATATACCGTACAGACAAGAAGCGCTCGGAGTGATTCTGGGAGAGAGGTGACACTACTGTTGTTCGCATTCTTTGGGAATAATCGTTGATGAAGTTCTTGTTGAACGACCGCCTGCGCGACCGCTGTCATCCTACCATTTTATTACACGTAGGGGCTATTCTATTACACGGTCACAGCCGCTGGTCGTCCCGGGAACCTTTTGAACCACAAAGGCCAAAAGTCAGTGCCCAACTAGCGTGGCGCGTACCTTGCACTTTTTCGGCAACAACAAGCGTTGTGTGCTGTAAGGGGCCGCCTCTTCCAGTCCGTGCCTCTCTAGAGGCCGTGTACACAAATATCTTCCGATCACCGCGTTGACCGTCTTTGTACCACAGGTGCACTGCAGTTTCGAAACTCGCTGCTGTAACTTTCGCCCAAAGAATATCATCCATGTGCTGTCTTACACAGCTGGACGAACATGATACTTCCCCGCCTCTACATGCTATAGAACGCTGACTCTTCCGCGTCTGTGGTCCCGCTTCAATCGGCAGAAGAATAGGCGTGGGTGTGCACGGCGATAACAATGCATCAACGGTGCAGTCGTCGGCAGCGCTCTTGTACGGATTGCTTCATGCGAGGTACGAGCTCGTGGTAGTGTGATGGCAGTCCCACCCAATGTGTAAACTTTGAAGTTGGTGGTTGGGGCTCTTTTTGTGCGTACACGCCTGCTGCTGGAGACTACTGGGACTCAAGCTACACTACGTTCCCATGACAGTTTCAAGACGTTTTTATCTCGCCGGCGTTCTGATTATTGAGAACGCCCTCGCCCCTCGCTGTTTCCGTGTGGACCCCGTCCCTCTTGCAGATTTCTAGTGAGCCCACAGGGGTTAAAAGTCGTGCTCGAAAAGTTCTCCAAGGCAGACTTCGGGAGATGCCCCAGGTAAACCGTGCTCTAAAGGAAAGAAAATAAGGGGTCTCGGCTTTTCGACACAACAAAAGACTGAGAAGTACTCCCAGACGGCGCAACACGATGACAATATCTTTTTGACAACGGCAAGAATAATACCATACGAAACAAGAAAAACCAGGGGGACGCACAGAACACAGAACGTCCCTAGTCTTGCAAATAGTGTACGGGCAAGGGGTCAGATATTGTTGTGCGATAACTCCGCGTCTTTCGTGGCAAGTTTGTTGGCGTTGTCGATGATTTGGAAAGTTTCGTATCCAAACGCAGCGAGGAAACGGCTGTTGAGATCCCAGAGGAAGTGCGAAACTCAATTTTGAGTCAACGGTGAGGAAGTGGCGACGCTAACATGCCTTCTGGAGAGGATACAGTAGTTATGACGCAAGCGATATTCCGTCGTCCCCTGAAATAATGTCTAACGTATCTAGGTCATTTCGCACGGTGGTGGTTACAAAACAGTGGTATGTCATGGACGCAGGGTTCCGCCTTAGTTCAACACAAGGAAAGTTAGATCGTTTTTGTTTGGGATATACACGTTTGTGCGTCATGTTCAGGCATACGAGCTGATGCACGACTCTCCGACGTTGCCCGCCACCCTGCAGAGTTTATTGCCAAGGCCAGGCCGTGCTTCCAGTTGGAGAATCGGACAGACCAAAGCAGAGTTCTGTGAAGGTGAGCGTTGTGCTTTAATGGATATCACGTCCTCCGTTAGTCTATATCTTCGCATTGGCTACGCATTTGGAGTCCGACCCAGAGTTCCGCATCTCCTGCCTGCCTACCTTTTGAGTTTTTGTATTCAACATCAAGCGCCGGGTTCAACCCTCCCTTCTGTGCTGATCCACGCAGATGTCAATCTCGTGCGCGCGCTAGGTTTGTTCGTTGGAAGTAGAAAAGCCTTGGACACTGAAATTCAAACGATTAAGTAACCTGGCCGCTACAGTTTTAACTGTTGGGGAGAACGATCACCAGCACCAATATCACGCTTACGGAGCGTGTACTAGGTGGGCGGAGTTGCCAACACGTGTCTCAAATTCCAACCGGGTTGGAAATGTGCGCGTTTTCACTCGCCCTAGTCTTTCTCCGCGCGGCGTTCTCTGCGAGGCGCCGCGTTAAAATTGACACCGATATCCGTCCTATCATGTCGTACATTGCAGATGCATCGGCCTGGGATAGTTTCTGCAACAGTTTTGAAAAGTTGCACATGCACTATAGTGGAGTCTCGCAGGGCAACCAATAGAAAATTCTGCAAAATCTGCGTGGTCAGCTCTTCACCCTTGGCGATGTTGTCAGGTGTTCTGCCCGCGCTGCGGTGACCTTTATTATCCGTCGGGATACGTGCGGGCATGCGACGGAGCATTCTGGGGAACAACCCTGCCCCACCTCCTGTTGCTGGGCTGGCCAGAGCTGAAGACTACGCCAAACACGTCTCACTACGTGCCCAGGGTGTTCGGGTTCAAAGTACACGCGGAAGAGTTGAGTGCTCCAGATCAAGACGGTCGCCAAGAGAGGTTATCGTAGTAGCGAAGCTGCAGGAGCGTAGGCGAAGAGCCCTTTGTGCAGGTGAACATTAGTGCTTCGGTATATCGTTGAAATCGAGAGCAGCAGTGATATCCCCCCTGCTGTGGGAAACATGTGAAGACGACGACTTAGTGGGTGTTGGGGGTGGGTAACCTGGAAGGGGCAAATGATGCAGATTTTTGTGATACGAGGAGATTTTGGTTAGCTAAATGACGAGGGCATCGAAGGCTGTAAATGCAGGACACACAGCTCCCATATTCGACCGTGTATTTTAGCCCCACGCAGATTTCAAAGCAGAGTTGCTGCACAGGAAAAGAGTTGCTGGCGACGTATATTGTAGATCTCACCGAGAGATTTTGGAGTATTGATCATTCGGTGATGGCACCGTCGGCGGTGAGGCCATCGGTCCAAGGGGGTACAATAGAAATAGACAGCAGTCAAACAAGGCGTGCAGAAGTAGACGAGGCTACATTTAATTAGGTCTCCTGTGCGTTTCCTGCTGTCAGTAGAGGTGAGAGTGATGGGGATAAGGCCAAATGCTCTAGATTAACCTGGGGGAGGGGGGCACACGTGCGACGAAGTTGAGGTGTGACGGCGCTAGCAGATCGTGCACAATTTTCCTTTTCAGTTGTAGATCGAAACACGGGTAGACGTCATGCTCCACTCTCGAGTCCACCTCACAACGTACATGTAGAGCGGCGCTCCCCGACCCGCTTTGACCACGCCACCCAGGGCGGGATTGGCCGTGCCATTCATTGGTTCACACCCTGTCGCCGAACCCGCCGTGACTTTTCTCGTACCCTCTGTTTGATTGCGCCTAGCCCATCTCCACCGCCGCCAGCCGGAGGTGGTTGCATTGTTCTCTGGCATCGCTGCTGCTCGATATACTTCCAGCAGGTGGGGGGGCTACCAATCGTGGCACAGATGCCCTCGGTATAGAGGCCTTCCCCGCCTGCAGCCCCAGCCGTACCTTTGGGTGCCGGGTCGGGGATCGACACATCATCCGTACCCCGCTGATGTGGGCTGCCCCTAGCGACAATCCTGTATGTGTTTTCTATTCTATCACCGTCAGTAGAGGCGAGGGTGGTAGCATGAAGCCAAATCCCCGGAGGGCCAGGCGCGGGCGCCATCGGGTGTCAGATGCTGCGCTATGCGGAGGTCGTGTTTGGCGCCCGGTACCAACCCCCCGAGGGACATCATTCCAAGTCTGCATGGCGTACCAGCTGGATTGGTTGCACCATATGTGCACAGCGTCAACCATCCCGCTTATTACACGTACGTGTCCGCCCTGGGAGCTTGACGCCCTCACAAGAGATTTGGTGCAACCTCGGTGACCGCACCTTTGTGCTTGAAGTCAGCCATATCCCGCGTGTTGCGCATCCAGCACAGAACTCAACCTTCCCGGGTCCCTCTACACCCAGTATACGGTTAATGATTGCATGCCGTGTACCCGCATTGTGATCGTGCTGCTGTCGCCTGCGCCCTCGTCTCGCATACCTTATTATTACTCCAGCCAATTGTCTGGAGGACTACAGCAGTACTGCTGTGTACACGTTCATAAAACCCAGCCGATGCCGCGCAGCTTTTGGGGATTCCCGTATAACTTCCGTGAGAGATTTACGAATAGCTTCGAGGTCTGCGTACTGCACACATTACTCAAATGATCACGGATTGCTTAGTTGCACACGAACAGACGTAAGCCGAGCAACGCGGGTGGGATCGGCGACCGGCTGCGGATCCTTGACTGAACTTTGAATAGATAGTTCCTTTTGAGGGGGGACGTTGAACGCGATGTTGTACATAGGTGCAGAGGTTAGGTTTTGGGCTGTCCGCGGTGTCCCCCAACAGCAATACACAACAGACAAGTGCTCCAGCACACCGCAACACCGCAACCCGTACCACCCCCCTTGCTACGTGCGGTTCACGAGCGCGTTCCATCCGTGGGAGCGTGTAAAATTGAAGAGACCATCTTTGCCAGGTCTCTATTATTTTGCATTAGTATATAGCAGGAGCGCGACAGCGACGATGGGAGAGGAGATAGACACTTCGCAGCTGTCCCTGACAGTCCAGAGAGGGCCTCCCACAGCCGCCTCCGGTCACGCTCACTTGCAAATATTCAAAGATGGCGCGGCCCTAGGCGAAGTACTCGCCGGTGGTCGCGATGTGACGGTGCTAGGGCGGAACTCGAAGATGTGTCACGAGAGGTTGGATCACGAGAGCATCTCTAGGCGACACGCGGCGTTGGTTCACAACGGGGATGGGGATGTCTTTGCGGCCGATCTAGGCTCCACCCACGGCACCTACGTGAACGGTTGCAAGATTGCATCGAAGACCGCAACAAGACTGGGTGATGGAGACGTCATCAAATTTGGCGAGAGCTCCAGGTAAGGACTGCGTGTAAGTTATTTGTCTCGTACTGCTGTAACCAGGAGGTGCTGGTACAGCAGGGCCTGCGTACTGGTACAGCAGTGCCTCCGTGTTCTCGCGGCCGTCATGACTTCATGACCAACTGCTGCAGCAACTTGTGAGGTACTCGCCCTTTGCACGTCAAGGGTTTCATAGTACAGAGCTCGCCGCTGGAATATGTGAAGTGATTGGAATTGCCATGTTCAAATAGTTGTGGTGCCGACCATCGTTTTGGGAATTGTGATAAAGTTGTGCTTCATCGACCGCAGTCGACAGAGCCCTACACAAGAGTTGTGCCATCTACCTCGTTGAATACGGATGGTGGCCATGCTGAGGCTATGGCTACTGCTGCTGTAGAGCACGGCAAATTGCGACGCTACCGTCATCCCTGCGCCTCATAATCCCCCCCCCTTCCTCCCTCTCTCTCTCTGTCTCTCTCTCTGTCTCTCTCTCCTTCTCTCTCTTCGCGATTTGGCTGATTTCTCCAGGTCATACGTGTTTCGTCTTTCGGCGCCAAAAAGTGTCACCACCAAGTCAGCGTCATCCAACGGTACATTCCACGAGAAACCGACCGCGGCAGGTGGCGAGTCTGGTAAAGCCAACGGAGGAGCGGCCAAGCCGCGGGTAGACCCAAGAAATTCACCAAACGACTCGAAGGCCCCGTCTTCTATGCTGCCTCCTCCGGGTGGCCACGTGGTTAAGAAAAAAGCGGAGGCAGGGAGAGGCCGACCCGCCGACAACTGGGCCCAGCCGAAGCCCGTGGTTGGGCGGAAATCAACCGCGAATCCGCCGGTGTCGGGTATGGATTCCGAGCGAGAGGCAATGCTCCAGGCCAATGTGCCGTCCTCTTTCGGTGCCGCTAGAGATAAACCGCTTGGCAAGAAGGCGGTCAGGGAGGCCCATATCATGCGCGGGGTACCGGGCGCCGTGATATCCGGGACTAGCGGCCGTTTCGCGACTGGCCGAAGCGTGGGTAAAAGTATCGACAAGGCGGGGTCTAGTGCTGGGGAAACGGTGGACAAGGAAGAGGCGCGAAAACAGAAGCAGGCGGAGATTGCGGCCATTACGGCCGAGCTCATGGCCGCAGAGTCGAGCGATGCTGCCGAAAATGGAAATGGGCGAGAAGACGTGCCGGCGGCGGCTTCCTCGGCGAAATTCAAGCCAGGAGGATGGAGACATTCATCCGGAAACGGGAAGGTTATGGGGTCGATCGGGTCCGCGGGCAGAAAAAAAATGCAGCGCACAGCCGCAGAGCAATCCAGGAGAGAAGAGGAAGAGGAGGAGGAGGAGGAGGAGGAGGAGGAGGAGGAGGAGGAGGAGGGGGACGACGAGGAGGAGGAGATTACGGAAGAGATGCGGATTAAGCTTGTTGTGCGTCGCTTGGGACTGCCTGTTTCGCACGAAGTACAGCTGAGTGGCCATCACAAGGGCGTCACAGCGTTGGCCTTGGATCGGGCGGGCGGACGTGTGGCAACGGGATCGAACGACTACAAGGTGCCCGGATACCGAATGAGACCCCACCATATTTGTGGGCGAAGCGCGAAATGTGTTTTCAGAGACACGCTAGTTCAAAGTTCAATGGGAATATCGTTGATGGAATAGCCTAAGGCCGTGGTGGCGATATCGGTCTATTAATAGTATACCTTGTTGCTCTGAAGGACGGATCCGTCGCATGAGCTCGTTCGGCCTACTGAGAAGCGGCGCGATGGGGCAAGAAGTGTGCCGACCACGACGTTGTAATGATCAGCTGCCCACTCCTCACACCATGCTTGTTTGTGTTCCGGCTTTGATATCAGGTAAAACTTTTTGACTTCGGTGGCATGGACAAGCGGCACTTACCTTTCCGAGAGATCGAGCCTGAGGAGGGCAATGTGGTGGTGTCCATCAGCTACTCCGGCACCGGGCATGCCTTTCTTGTTTGCACCGCCGGGAGCCAGCCGAAGGTGGGTGGTCTGTTCAGCGACAACCCGCTCGGGACGTCGTAACCCTTTGGTTCTTGGGAGCAGCCTCCTCCTGCTAACTCTACCGCAGCAGTGCCTGTACCGAGGGCTTTATGCTAGCCCATGCTATATGCGTACCGACATGCAAGCGAAGTTGTGCACGCAGTCCATTCAAGTAATTTATCAGCACCTTGTTCATGAAGCATGCCGTTGTGTGCCCGTTGTTGTTCTATCTCATAGCTCGCTTTGATGTTGTGCTGTCCCTCATTGTGTATCTTGTGTGTGTTTTTTTCTTTGCAGGTGTACGACCGTGACGGCAACCAGCTCGCCCACTTCGTCAAGGGAGATCCGTACCTTAAGGTTTGAATCGAATCGCGAGCACACATTCTCCGTGCGTTAATTCGTGTGCCAGGGGCAGTGTGGCGTTCCTGTCGTTCCCTTGACATGGTTGCCCCGTGAACAACTGCAAGCGTCGACGCTCCTGCCGTGCACGGCATGTTTCAAGTCAAGTCGTACTTTCTTGCTGGGGCCACGCTGCCGGACCGCTGGGGCTTACGAATCTGGAACCTTTTTGTTGAGGGCGGGAGAGTGCTGTTTGTCATCTCCATCGGTCGGCACGTTTTTATCGCCGACTACAAGTATTGTATGCATACTTCTCGACGAAACCACACCCTACTGTGACTCACGGTGTGTCCTCCTACTCCCTCGCGTTCCTTGCTGCACGTTCCGCACGCCATGAATTTAGAATATGGCGAGCACAAAGGGCCACGTGACGCGGGTAACAGGGGGGGATTGGCACCCCACGAAACGGAACGAGATGTTGACTTGCTCGGTGGACGGGACAGTGAGAATATGGAACCTCACCGGGAAGTTGGCCTTCGACAACCTCATCAACCAAACGGTGAGAGCACGCCGCATGTAGAGAAGTAAGTACACTCCGCGTAGCGTCGTAGATATGTTGATGCTTTGGTTACTGTAGGAAAGATTGGTGTTTGTTGTTGTGCCATTGCATACAGTACTTGACCGGAAGAGTGAATCAATCAAGTCCTTGTGTTGTTCGCATAGAACAACGTGGCGACAGTGGCGTTGAGCGCCTCTACCTGTACGCGATTGCTGTCATGCTGTCATAGGTGATCAAGCTACGGTCGGCCAGAGCGCTGAAGCTTGGGTGCACAGCTGCTGTTTATCACCAGGAGGGGAGACGGATCGCCGCTGGCGGGGAAGATGGGTCTCTGCACCTCATTAATATGGATAGGCCTCACGTCAAGCACGACGTCGTTCGCGAGGCGCACAAGGTAAGGGATGACGAGCATGTTTTTTTGTTGCATTGTTGGTCTTCTCTGCCTGACGGTTGGCTCGTGTCTAAATTGCATCGGAAATCGGTATTTAGGTCTCATCCCTCCTTCTTGTGTTATAGCCCTCTTTCAAAGTTACACCTTCAAGTTTGTTTTTCGTTGGCCTGCTTTTCTCTTCCTCAGCCCCTTTCGTCTTTGTTCTAGTGCAAGCTCTGCTATTTTCAACAAATATCGGACTTTTAGGTATTTGGCCGAGTTGAGCGTCTGAAAGTTAGTCTGTGCGCTATCAATCATGAGCTGCCAATGGGATATTCCCAGAGTTGTTGGCGTGTCTTGCCCAACTCGGTCCGTATTGACCACGAGGGCACACTACTTGTATCGGTCTGCCTGTCACGTAACAAAAATCAAGGGGTGCGAGCTCACATCGATCTCGTTCAACGAGGACGGCCATCTGCTGGCGACGAGGGCGATGGACGATACGGTGAAACTGTGGGATATCAGAAAGCTGGGGGGTGGAGTGGTGAAGACTTTTCCCGACGTCCCGACACACATGGTGAGAAATCGGTGCTATTTGTGTTCGCAACCGTTTATAATAAGTTTCTTCAGTGGCATGTCCCATGGCTCATGGTTCATGCACCTAACTCGTCGTGGCTTGTTGGGCAATATCGTACAATACAATAATGTTTGCCCGGTGAGAAGGATGCTGCGGCAACACAGGACAGTGGTTGTGCGGCCGCTGCCACTCTAAGACTCATCTTGTTTTCTCTCTCCACGTATATATATATATCCGTCCACGGGTAAAAGCTCGAGCGCTGTTTTGCCATGGATAAGACGGGCAGTGCTAACCCCGCCTGGTGGATTTGCGAAGCGGCGGAAACATTGCTCTCGCCGATATTTACCGGAATTGTCACTATCGACGAATTTGGCGCTCTCAGGCGGCCATGGCGGCAGTAGCTAGGGAACAGCGCGTGTGATTCGAAGGATATCTTGACCGATCTATATATCCGCTTGCAAGGGGGTTCATTGACAAAGGTTTCTGTTTCAGTGTGCTCGAGAATCGTTTGCTGTCCCAAAGCTCAGCCGACGTCCCGTGACCGTGTCGCAGCGGCCACGGCACAGCCACTCGCCACTCGCCAACCATGGCTAGAACAGGGTATCGCTTGGCAACGCTTGTATTCCAAAATAGTGAGGATCTAAGATGTTTTCGGGGACGTTAGCCTTGTGTCCTAAGGAGCACGTGCCCCTTGCGGTTCACACCTTTTTTCCGTCCGTGGTCCTCCGGTATTCCTACTTACTGTCTCTGCTTCTGCATCTGCCTATTCAATCCGCCTCCTTCGTGTGCGAATACACCCATCGCGTTGTCGTTCCCAGGAAACGGCCAACACGTCGTTCAGTCCCGACGGTCGAGTGCTGGTTTGCGGCAGCAACGTGCGGCCTAAGTCGCACGCCATGGGTGTGCTCAAGTTTTTCAATGTATACACGGCAGAGGCCGAGCCGGAGCTAGGTGAGAGAAATTGTGTGTTGTGCTATTGTTGCTGCTTCTATTCGCATCGCGTTCTGGCGTAGTTCAATGTGAACTTCCCAGGGTACAAAACAGCGGTGTTTCAACGTAGAGCACGAAGAGGGGAAAGAATCAAGCATGTCTCCTGTTGGGGTTTTTCGTGTGTGTTGTTTGCCGCCGCGTAACTCGCGTTCCACCATAACGTAGTGTAGATGATTTGTGTTGTTTGTATCCAAGAGGCGAGCGCGTCCATCGCTCTTTCGCGTTGTCGCGTCAAGTTGAAGCGGATACGGCGTACGTTAGCGCTAACACAGTGAAGTTTGAGTCCGAATCGAAGTTGATGCCGCAAGTCATGCGTTTGCACTACTCTTGGTGCTGTGCCAACAAGTTCTTGTGTACAAGCCGCAGGATCAAGACACATGTGCGATTTCCCCCCTCCGATTGTCCCGTACATGTTTCGGAATGTGTGCGCTAACTCCACCTTACGTGATGTCGATTATGTTTTCATCCCGCAGAGGTTAACGCTGCTCCGGAAGCCAGCGTGGCGCGCGTGGTTTGGCATGCGCAGACCAATCAGGTCATCTGTAGCACGTCGGCGGGGGGTGTGCGGGTTATGTACGACCCTGCCATCAGTGACAAGGGGGCGATGCTATCGGCAGGAAGGTCTCACAGCCGGCTCAACACCAACATGTTCCTGCCGAAGCATGCGGTGCGATGCTGTATTGTATGTGTAGCAATTATTGTTGCGTTTAGCCCCATTCCCCCAGTTTGTTTTTGCGTTCCCTTTCAAGGGGGCTCTCAGATGTTTCTGAACATGCCTCTCGCTTTATAGCTCACATCAATATGGCCTGCATCGCCCTATGAGTATGGTGTGGTTTGGTTTGGTTGTCTTGTGCGGAAATGTTTGTCTTAGATTGTGTTCCACGATGCCGCAGGTCACACCCGACGTCTCGGGAATCATCCGCCACGGTTTTGCCTCTCCTCCGCGCGTGACGCAGGGATGGAGTAGTTCTGATCCGGTTGCATGCATATGTAATACATGCCCGTCCTTCGTTCGTGCTCGCTGAACCTTCTTCCGTACTGTATTGCTTGTGGTTTTGCGCTATCGGCTCAGGTGGGCGAGGTGTACGCTCCACACGCGCTCCCCATGTTTCGCGAGGAGCAGAACTCCAAGAAGCGGAAGGAGAGGAGCGACAGGAAGGACCCCGTTCGAAGCAAGAAGCCCGATCCTCCGGTGAGAGAGGAGATGCAACAACCCTCGGCTTGCTTTTGGTTCATGTTCGGGTCCCGGTTGAGGGTTGCTGCCCTGCTTGGTGCGCGGAAGTCAGTTGATGTTGCCTCCGAGACTTGAGTAGCTTCGGTGGGCTGGTGAGCATGCAAATGCGACTGAGCGCAAAGGGGTTGCAATAGGCATGTGGCTTGAAAGGGCTCAAGCACGAGAGTTCGTCCAACAGCAGTGTTGACGCGGGAGAGCGCCCTCGCTCTCGTTTTTCAGGACCATCCTGGAATATTAGATGACATGTTGCCTTTGGGTTCCTATATTCAAGCTCTACGGAACACTCCAGTTTCGTCTTCACGGTGCACGAGGGTGCGCACCGACAACTGTGGTTGCATAAGAGTTTGCAACCACTCGATACTAACCGTGTAAGAATCCCCCTCGACAACCTATTGGCTCATCCCTCGTGTGCGCCCTTTAAAATTATTCTGTACTTGATTCAGATGCCCGGCCGCGGCGTGCAGGGACGCATCAGCTCGTCCAACAATTTCCACCAATACGTCCTCAAGGAACATCTTGTCTCTCAGAAGAACCTGCTTCACGAGGTACGATCGCCGTTCTATCTTTCTCGCTGGAACGTAAACCCCCCGCCCGGCGATTCTGAGCATGAGTTGTTGTTGCTAACGTAGTGGAAGAGCCGAGCCAGGGAAGTCTTGGGTCCTTATTTTCTTGTCGCTCTACAATGGATGCTCTTCGAGGCATAGAGCTTTCACGCCGTACAGCAGTAGGCACGCGATATTGCGCGGTACTGTCTTCGTCAAGGTCGACAAAATGGACACCGTTGTGAATATTCCGTCTTTAACTGGGTAGTTCTGGTTGCTTTAAACGTTTGGTGGCTCGTATCCTCTGTTACATTACTACACCCCCTGACACTGCTCGGTTAACACTGCTGCTGACCCCAGGACCCCCGCGAAGAGCTGCTCAAATACGAGGCGGAGACCAAGGACGAGAAGGAGTATCTCGGGTCGGCCTACGAGAAATCTCAGCCCGAGGGTGGTGGAATGTTCCACAGAACGCTGGAGCAAGAGGAGGAAGACTTCAAGGAAGAGCAAAGAAAGCTCTTGGACTCGTGATTATGTGCACGTAGCCTGTAGAATGTTGTGCGTTAGAGTGTGCTCCCCTCGGGCTGTTTAAGAAGGAAAATAAGGAAATATACGGGTGTAATCGCAATTGGCTTGACGGAGATCTGCGTCTACCCGGACGATGGGTCCCTCTTTTTCGGCCTGTTGGATATCGATGCTCACTGACGTGCTGACGGATGGAAGTACTCCCGTTTTGAGTTCGAAACTCACGCTAGCAAATACCAGCTGAAGAGTTTCAGGTGCTGTGGCAAATGCGGTGTGTGGGCATTTCTCTTCGGCGATACGGAGCGTCCCGAGGGGCGCTTTGGTGGAGTGCACAATCTTAACTCTTTCATGATAGTCACGGCAATATACGTGACATGCACCAACGATAACACACAGAAAGACGTAGACATATGTGGCTCGCCAAGATTTTCGCGGCCTTTTATGACCCAGCGTGTGGACTACAGGACCACACTACGCCGTAGAAATAGCACGAAAAAATGCCAACGTCGAGCTGAGCTTCTTCCATACATAAACGCCTCCACGCAGAACCATGGATATATTTCCTCGCAATTGCTTGGTCTAACGTGGTTGACACACTGTCATCCTCCTTCTACGAACAGCCCCCGTCGGCTGTAGGGAAATCTGGTACTGGTCTAGCTTTGCCGCCACCCTTCTTGCTGCCGCTCGATCCCGATTTGGAGGTCCCTCTGGTCTTGCTCTTGCTGGCCGTCTTTTTGCCGGCGCCAATTTTTCGTCCCCGTGGTGCTGCGGGTTCGTCTGGCGTCTCCATGAAGTTAGGGTTGTCCCCACCGTCCAAGCGCCTCTTCATCCACCCTGGAGCTCCCAGACGACGCTTGGCCCCCATCAGCGGGTGCACCACAGTGAAGAAGTGGTACACGTGACCGCACAAGATCCCCACGAAATGAGGAATGGCTGCCAACGGGCTCCCCTCCGCCTGGAGCACTGCGGCTGTTGGTGCGTTCATGTACACGATAAACATTGCAGCGCCCAAGGGTTTACGTTAAAAGCTGGGCACGTATTCTACAAACAAGCCACAGCACTGCTACGAGAGATTGTAGGTTCCGAACAAAGGACTGAAAACCGAGGAATGGTTCTGTGCTGATCTTGGATCCAGCATCCGGTTCCCGAATTTTACGTATGGATCCCAATGCACACAGTTGTTAAACTCGCGCGCGCCTTAGAAGCTCTACTACTGTACTATCGCAGATCTTGTCAAAAGTTCCCCCACGTTCATGACGGCCGTTGGCGGGTGCAAACCCATTCCAGTTGTGTAACCCTCCTCTTCTACCGCACCAAAAAGGTGTTTGGATTAGACGGTATTTACACAGCTATGAGGAATCGACTCGTTGAGTATGACCATCGTCACAAGTATGATAACCGTCGGCCCAACTCCCCCATGTCTCACCTCCCATTTGTGCGAACGGCAGCGTCCACATAGGAATCCTGAGGAACTGGAACTGCACGGCCCCTAAAGGATCCATCCTGAGAAAAAGTAAAAAGAAGCAATAACCAGGCGAGATATGACGGTGCTGTCGGCACACCAGTACAGCAACGGAAACTGCAGCAACCTACTTGTACAATGTTCCGATTGGCAACCCGTCTACCGCAATGAACCAAAGCGACGATCGTGAGGCACGGAAGGCACTGGAAATGCAGAGAAGGGTGCCAGCGATGTGGCTCTAGCCCACCAGCGCGCATGGATCATTTGTTGCGCACAACTGGGGGAGTCCACACTACGTGTGCTCGAGCATGTCTTCCCCGAAGACACCCCCACAGCCACAACATCGACACCTATGATACCCCGACCCCTCTCACTTGAATGATTACGAAAATATTCGCGCATATAAGCTACTAAAGCAAAATGCAGTACTGTACATGTTTCTGCTGGCAGGACTGGATTGGCTCACCTCGCAGACACGTACGTATGCGCAGCCACCATGGAGGTGGACAACAACGGCATGCCAATCAATGGCCCCAAGAACAGCAGCAAAGAGCCCTTGAATTATCAACACACCGGCAGCAGCACAATCGACGGGGTTAATTCCCGAGAGGAATGCTCACCAACGGTGTTCAGTGAGATATGCATAGGTCCATCGGACAAGTTGAACGGATTCTCGAACGACTAGTCAAGACCGGCGTGTGTTTCGCGTGATGAGGGTGTTCCCATCTGAGCTGGGGTTCTAAGCATACTTGGGTTACACTACCGTTGGACGTCATGCGAATGAGTACAACTTTGTAAACCTGACCACGAACAACACATACTCTCTCCCGATGATAGGTACGGGAAGGATGCGCCGCCGTCATAATATTGTACCTACAACGTGTTAGGACATTAGACTCCCAAATATGTACATCGTACATAGTCCAACCGACACAAGGCGCCACATGCTCCAAGCTTACACAGGCAATCAGTGCGCGCAGCCTTGTCACACCATCTGACACTTTATCCCTGGGGGCAACATTGAATCTCTCACCACGACGAGGAGGAATATTACTTGCTCCGCCGTCCCGCTAACCAGTTCCAACCGAGTGCCGTGTTGTGTCAGGAAGTACACGTTCGTCAGCCAGCTCATCGACAGAGGCCCGAGGTAGACGAGCGACGTGAGAGGCCGCCACAGCTCCAATCCCTTCAAGGGACGATGTGACAGCGGGAAAAACAATGTAAGGTGGTCGATTTTCCACGGGGCGAACGTCGACATGCCGTGGCAACGGTACGACGAGAACCCCAAAAGCTGCTTTACTATCACTGACAACGATAGCCTTGAAAATGGGTACCCTAAGGTGGTATGCCCCCGCTTGCTTCAAGCAGAGAGTGGCGAGAGCGTTGCGCAATGCCCCCGCAACACGTCAATAAAATAGGCAAGAGCGCCATGATCATGGTGTACTTCGTATGTCTGTATTTCTCAAGTTAAGCTTACTTTATAACCAAAAGCCGAGCGAACCGCGTTGGGTTGAATACACCCGACCGAAAATCTCGGCGATCACGTTCACATCCGATTCCCTTCCAATGGGAGTCTCCGAGTCACCTTCACAGTCCTTCCCCAATCCATGGAAAAGGTGTTGCCCGAGTCGATGGCCTTACCGACGGATACGTCCACCGCGGTGATGACCATCAGCAAAAGGACGTATGCTCGTGTTGCCGGTGGCATCTGCAGTGCGATGGAGTGCAGAGCGCGCACAACATAGGGGAGACGGTGCCGCCGGAGTCGGAACCAACTAGCGCCAAAGTGGAAACAAACACATCGTCCGTGCCTTGGGGGCAAACACAATCGAAGGAAAACACCCTATGCAACCAACAACATAATGCGGAAACAAAAAAATCGAGAGAGTTTGATGCCGACTCGCACTCTTCGCAATAATCGATACAGCCCTACATTTTTGAAGACTCCCGTCAGAGCCGACAGAGCCCCAGGTCCTGCGTCCGCGTCGTCGTTCTCATCCGCGTCATCGTCCTCGTCGTCTGCTTTCACCGTAGCACGTTTCACCCCTCCCCTCAGCCGCGCCACCTGCAAAAACAACACAAATCCTCACTGGTCGTCTTACTGAGATGTCACGTCATGTATCCGGAAGACTTTCTAACAAACATCAAGGGCGGTCGGAGGAACTACGTAATACCTCTCAGCGGGTTCATGCTCTTCGAGCCCAAGCCGAAAACTTCGTGTCGTAAAAAAACCGATTGCGTGGAGTTAGCAACATGCTTCAATCCAAAGAGCGCACTTGAACCGGTTCTCACATGGCCCAATACGGACGCAACGCTGAGCAAGCAGATACCTCGACCAACTCACCAGGTCCAAGGACAAGTGCTTCCTATGCAAACCCACTCTGGATGGGTGTGAATCGCGCCGCCGTGTCCACACCTACAGGCACAAGCGAGAGAAGGTCGAGCATCGGCGGGGGAGAGGTGCGGTTACTGTTGTTCGGCAAACAGCACATGGCCGTACGCGTTAACCGTCCTAGTACCTAGTCCCTCCGCAAAAAATGTCGCAAAAATGTCTGTCATCCATTGGTCGAGGGGCTACAGTTCCTCCAAAGAATCTGAGCTCCTTGCCAGACGAAGGGTGACTTGGCTTCAGTATGAAAAGTGTCCCCAAAACACGTGGGGACACTTTTCATACTGAAGCTAAGTCAGCATTTTTTCCAGTACCAGGCGATGTACAGTTTTACGACCTAGGGGGCACGCGGGTTGGGAGATGTGTACAGCAGGTCAAGAGGCCCGGGACAGGTACAACACACAGCATATCACACAGCGTACCACCTCAGCCAAGCATGATAAACCAAAGGTTCTCCGTGCGTTGTACACAGCGGAGCCTACGGTGGCCACAGTGCGGTTCGGCATTTTACTGCTGTGTCCCCAAAGTGTCCTCATTTGGGCTTCCAGTACTAGGAGGGTTAAGACGCCAACAGCAAAGGGACACAGTCTGGCGTGTCCATCGATGGATGCGTTGACCAACTCCTGATGTGTTATTAGGATTAAACAGAACTTTCGTTTCTGCCTGCCGGTACATGGTAGCAGCAGATAAGCTGGAACCCACGAGACTGTAGACTACGCCTGCTGCTCTTTGGCTCATCGGCCGTTCTGTGTCGTACTGTATGCATACACTACACAGCAGTAGTAGTGCTATACATGCACCATCCGTTGCTGAAGAACTATCATGGGAGCATAGGTGTGAGGGCGTGCTGTACAGCCATTGTGAGAAAACGTGCGCAACAGGGTGCAAGAAGTGGCCACTGCTGTACTGCTGTAGTGCCTCTCAGCAACACCACCGCCATCATACCGGATGGACCCAGCTAGATACACTTGCTTCCCGTGGGTTTGGTGTCCTCGAAAACGACACGTGTCCCACTCTTTATGTATGGAAGCTGTGTGCGCGGCACTAGTGTGTAAACACCGACGACACCGACTGCTGTCGATAAATGTGGGGGTAACAACACACAAAGCAGCAACCCTAGCAGTGTACCCGGAAGGCGTGGTCAAGACGACGAAATGAACATTCTCGGTACGTCCAGCGCGCAGCAGCGGCAGCGGCCGGTCTACAACGTATCTACGCGTGGACAACTTGCACAACCGCACGTTACCCGTAAGCTTCCCCTTGTGCCTACCGCGCCCATACACCGATCTCTACATCTAGACTATGCTTCCCCCTTGAAGTGTCATATTTGATACAACTCACTGAACTGATCGCTGGCGGTCTTGCTCCGGCAGTATTTATTCCCAAGGACCCGTCCGCCACGCTCGCTAATGATGCCACTAGGAGCAGGGGCGTCAACGCCAGCGGAGAAGCGGCTCTCATGATCAGGATCACCGGCCGTTGCTTGGTGCCAACAACGGACAACCACAATTCCCGTTCAGTTCCAGGAGCAGCAACAGCAGCAGAAGAAATCCGGGTCTGTAGTGCATGCAGGAACTGCAGTACACCTCGAACGCTGGCACCTTCGCCAGTGACGAGCAGCGGTAGAGACTGCCAGCCAGTTTCCTGGCACAGCAGACAGCACACATGCACGCCGCACGCCGATTGAGCCCCCCCACGCCCCCCACCCCATTCCTCACTGGACCCCTGGACAACGGTTTGTAACGAGGCGTGGTCTCAGCGGGAGATTCGGTCATGTATGCGAGCATGTATTAGTGTCACACAGAGGCGGTCAGCGGCCAGCGAGGGCGAATCGTTGTACGTTGTACACCTGGCTTGGAGATGAGGGTTGTACGCATCGCAATCGGTGGACTCTGCATGCTTGACTTGACTTCAGGGTTTGTGTTTCCTGCTCCTGCTGTTTCTACATGTAGGCGCGCTAGGATGTCCAGCAGCCCTCTGCGTGCTGCCAATGACGTCAAGGTCACGGTTGAAGGTGTGGTACGGACAGTGGCATTAGAGGAAGGCGTTTCGATCCTGGACGGCCTTGAAGCGCATGACATCGACGCCCCTCACTCTTGCCGTTCTGGCCTGTGCACCGAGTAAGTGTGTGTGGTGTTCAGTCAATCCACTTTGCCGGTATGCGTGCTGTTGTAGCTAAGCGAGGACTACTGTATACGCGTATGATAATGATAGGTTCCAGCAATGCCACGAAGTGTGTGCAGAACTCACCGACGGCAGCATGTCATCTAGAGCCGCGGGGTTCATATGGCTTGGCCTCCATCAAGCCCCAACCTTTCCTTCATTTGTTGCCAATCTGAACCTGCTCCGAGGTTGATGTACTCTGCACACGATGCCCGACCTGGACAAAACACGCCCCGTGTATCGGTTTCTCGCGGACGCCTGTTGACGTTTTTGAGGTTATGATTCAATTAATGGTCTCCATTTGATTTCATACGGGATGCCATGCTACTATCTCGCGACCGGGCAGCCTAGTTCCTACGTGTGTGTCATTACATAGTTTCGGCTACATACTCCGCTGTGACGAGATGTGACGATCTCTGATGCGGGTTCAGTGTGGAGCTAAATAGTAGTCCGACCACTGTGTGCAGGTTGGGGCCGCTTCTCTTCTTCACTCTGTTTCCTTCCTTATCCTTCCTTTCTCTCTCAATCGCTCGCTATAGCTCACTCCCAGGCAACACCAGGGAACACCGGGCAACACTGAGCAAGGTGGAACGCTTGCACATCGCTTGCTACTGCTAGTAACCATTGTACTGCTACCTTCCTAAAGTCGGAATACTAGAAACCTGGGCAGGTGGTCGGGATATTTCTGAAAGATATACCCGCTCAGATGGTATCTTAGTCCAAGGGCCCAAATACCATAACACTAGCCCATCCTGAGGGGATATATACGCAGAGGCTAGAACATGAAGAGGGGGAAATAACAATCCATCTGAAGCATCAACTCTAGACTCGAGGATACGGAGCCTCACAAACCTCTCCCGCACCTCTACGTGGATTTCAAGAGAGCTACGCTCTCGGCTAGCAAAAGGGCAGAATAGAATCAAGGGGAAACTGGGGCAAGCAGCGTGTAGGCTGACAGTGGCTATGAAAGCTGAGCAAAGAAGTGCGGAAAGCGTCCGAAGCTAAAATCAGGGGCAGAGCTACATAAGCAAGCAAATAAAGAGAAAAAAGTCGGGGGCTCTATCGATTGCAAGAGGGCCACGAAGAACGACGGTGTGACGCCAGGATAGTCCCGAATACGCAAGAAAAGCACGAGAAGATGCTCAACCTAATACCAAAAAGCAGAAGAAGCAAAAATACTCAGAGACAGTGGCGCAGCGGGAGCGGGCTAGAAAGCAAGAGAGTAACTACGGTGCTCCGCTTGCGGTCCAATAAAAATGGGGGGCGACAAACGGGCGGCGGTTGTCGGAGCGGACGCTGAAATATAAAAAATTAGAACAATAGGGGGGGTGGACAAGACCAAAGGTCAACAGAACTCTCAAAAGCTCAAAACGGGGGCGTCGACAGTAGATGTCGTGAGCTCCGGGGGTCAACAGTATAAGACGCAAGCTACGGGGGAGCAACAATAATTAGTGCTCGCAGGAGCTCAAAGGAGTGGCGTAAGAAAAACATAACATGGGCTATGGGGGAAACGCAGGCAGTATGGTCGCCGTCTCGGAAGGAAGGATTTGCTGTTTGGTTCATACAAGCAGTTTACAGTACACAACAGTAGAGTTGCGACGAATTTGAATCGTGTGCATAATGTCTGTTGATTGTACCATGTAGTTTACAGGGTTAGACCAGGGGTGAAAAGCGCGTGGCTTGTCAAGCACAATTTTATGCCAGCGTTCTGCTAAACTCGCAAAACTGACGCTTCAAACCTGACCAGGACAGCGGGCTGTCCCAGTGACAAAGATTGTGCCAGTGTTGTGGAATATCCGCCGGAAACGTGTTCGATTCCAAAATGAGTGCGTTAACATCGATGATCTCACGTTCCTTATAGACCATGTCGGGCTTTGCTCACTGGATAAGCTGCCGGTTGGAGCACAACGTCATTATCACACGGCTTCTTACAACAAATTCGTTCGCCAGGTGTGCAGCCATGGTTACAGCCAATCTTGACAATGTCAAGCTAGAGGCGGCAGTACTGGACCCGGAAATTTCTGCGAGAGGCTTTGTGCTGACGTGCTCTTCGACCGTGGCTGGACCTGGAGTGGAGCTGGAACTGGGTGTAGGGGACAAGATGTATGAGGTCCGTGTTTCTTGCTGAGTTCGAAGTACGACACTACAGTAAATGCCAGTACTCAGAGTCGCCCTGCTACTACCATATCGATCCAGACCGCCGTTGTTGTCCCCAGCTGTTGTCTTGCATCGACACTTTCATACCCATTTGAAACTAATAGGTTATTGTTCGATTTCGCCAAGCAATTTGCGCAACCTACTAAATCCTGTTAGGCAGAGCTGTACCCATCTGGCGAATGAGAATTTCTGTTTGAGTCGCAAGATGGCGTGTCACCACCGGACTGGTATTCCTTTTTCGAGGTGCATTCGAAAACGATCTCATGAAACAATCTCATAGCCTCAGGCAAACACATCTCGAAACGCACTAGGACAGAGCTCGGGCGACCTGTTTTTCCTTATCCCTTACTTCGTACTCTAAGAGAATTGAACCGATTCGTTAGAAAAGCACGAGGAAACAAATCAGCGGCGGCTCTGTACCACTCTGGGGCGATGTGCGCCTCACATCGCGTTGGAATGTTGGCACCTCAAAAGGTCCTTTTTTATTTTAGACAGAACTCGGGCGAGTAGTTTCCCGTGCCCCTTGCTTCCTGCTGTAGACACCTGTCAACGAAACTCTGACTTGATGTATCCCAAACCCACCTGTCTATTTTACCATGACAACCTGACTCGCATCCACCCAAGAACCCCCGTAAAGACACAACAAATCACTGCACAACACTTCAGTGACGAATGGACTTGCCAGTAGTGTGTAAACACGGAAGTCTCTCTCTCCCTCTCTCTATCTCTCTCTCTCTCCCTCTCTTTCTCCCGCCCTCTCTGCAGCACGCTGTCACCGTTCGCCCAACCATCCTCTTCCCCGACATTAACAAACATATTCATGTTTTTGTCATGACCTTTAAGAAAGAACGAGCGGTATCAGGTTTAAGAACACCCGCGCCGGAGTGTTCCCAACACCTTGACCATCAATACTGCCTACATCGCAAAACTACCAGCACCTCCTCCGTTTGTATTCGTACAAAATGGTGCAGGAAGAGGGTAAGAGAGCGGGGTGGAGAGAGAAGGGGTGGGAAGGGGGGTGACGTCGGACATGCCTCACACTACACTGTCCAAAGCGTTATTGCGCAACAGGTACGCGTTCGCCAGATGTTAGTTATCTTCTTCCACATCTGTTGTTCACGTCATCTCCGTACTTTTTGCCCGCGTTCTTCAGGCGCAGTACGGTGAATTGGTGCAAGGCCACAACGATGCACAAGAAGCCAAACCTGGGAAGTGGAATCTTCCTTTTCCCGACGTTTCAGGCGCATGATCGTTGGCGCTGGAGAACCTTAGCCGAGTTACGGCTCGCGTTTGCTCAGAGCAAAACGGGAGGGTTGCGCGAGTTTCTGGTTTTGTGCCTCTCTGGGCGGCCGGGGTCTTTCAAGAGACTTGAAGACAGTCGGAGTCATAGGTTTATTCTACTCCGGGCTTGTCTTCTTGCGCTCTCGTGCACAACGCAGTCATGTTCCGAGTACGGATGGGTGTTGATGTGTGCCTAGGGGCTAATGTACTTGAGTTTTGGGTTCAGACAGAGATGCTCTGTGATGGATGGATGTGATGATTTTGTCAAACCTTTGTTCCTTGTCTTGATGGCCGGTTTTATGTGATGGGTATAAAACAGGCGTATGTTGTAAACAACCAATATTATTGGGAATAGCGTTTTTAACATGCTGTTTGTGTCTCACGATATCCATACTCTGCACGTCCGCTCATACCCTTACCAGAAATAGTCTCGTAAACGTTTTGAAAGAGTCTCGTATACATAATAATATGGCGTGAACGCATCTGCTGTAAGTGCCGCACAATGGTAACCTCTTTAGGGCGACAGCCACGGAAATAAAACTGTATGTTTTGTTGCAGAGCGCCAGGCACCATTACCGTCCACCGTCTTGTTTGCAGATCAGTAAGGTCAACTTTCCAAGGACTGATACACATTTCCTTCTTCCCCTCGCTGCCTCGGCAAGGTTTTGCTTAGGCATGACCCAAAGCGAGGGGGGGGGTCTTTCTAGCGAGCAGGGCTAGACTCACCCTCAAGGGACCGATACCTTCTTGCTACGGCGCACCCGCCGCAAGGCGTGCGTAGTGGTGGAGTTGGGTCGGCACTGGTGCGTCAGGTACAAAGGTGCAGATGCGCGGGCCTCGAGGCCGTCGGTGCAGGCAGCAATGCCCATCTCATCTTTGTGCGCGGAGGCAGACGCCATCAGAAAGGTGGACGGGCACTATGTACACGGCCCTATGCTTGCTAGAGGGAGCTGTACTGTCTCAGTAACCTGGTTTTGCCATCAAATGAGGAGGGGACAGGTGGTGACGAGCTGACTGGGCTGGTTGACCCTTCGGCGCGAGAATTTTCAGACCAAGAACCCTAAGTGCAACGAGGGAGAAAGCGAGGAACCGACTGGGAAGGACAGCAACGAGAGCGTGTACGAAGCGGAGCGGGTCGAATTTGGTCGTGATAGGACTGGCCACAGCGACACCGGAGAAGCGGCACCGGAGCAGCGGCACCGGAGCAGCAGCGGAACCGGAGCATGCGGACGACATCGAACCGTGTCGCACGGACAAACATCTCTTGTGTTGTCAATTATTTTCCGTTTTTTTTTCCTGAATATAGGTGTTAGGTGTGTGTAATGACGTCACTGGTTTTGTAGAGAGACGCGGCAGAGATGGCGCGGATAACCCGGGTGCCTTAATTGTGTACCTGCATCGTGGAAGACCCCTTCAATGTGGAACGATTCCTAGTCAGTGCCGATGTTTACACTGCTGTGTCTAACACAGATGATCTGGATAGATTCGGGCGATTGTCAATTGCAATGATGGCTTTGGTTGGTTGTTCTTCTTCATTGTATGTCCACGGGACCATTCTGACAGCACTTCAGACAGCAGCTGCATGCCCCGAGCTTGTTGTGCACCATACACCATGGTGTTATTTTGTACAGACAGCACTTCAGACAGCAGTACGCTGTAGTCGACAAACATCCATTTTGGTGAAGTGCGGGACAAGGGGGGTGATGCCGCCTGCTGTAGTCGAATTGTAGTGTGTGGGCGTGTAGTTCAGTTGTGAGCACGCAAACGTGCTGCAGGGATTGATTGTAGGTGTACCTCCTCGGGCTTGTGTACCCTTTTCTTGCTAATAGTGTGCGTGTTCTTTAGATCTTCTGATGGCTTTAGCATTTTTGTGACCACGGGCCGAGTCTTTGCTAGATTTTGGGATTGGCAACTGACACGAGTTTAATGTGAAGAAAAACAAACAAACAAACAGAAAACACTATTGGTCTGCGTCTACATAGATCTCTACAACCCAAAACAACAACGTAGGTTTTGGTCACAATTCTCCTTGCAAAACGTACCCAGGTGGCTAGCTTGCTGCAGCCAAGTCTGCTCGCGGTTTTAGGAGAAGAGTTATCATAGACTTCTGCTGTAAACCAACAGAGCGTGGTACGTCTACCATACACAACAAGAGCTTTGCACTTAGAACGAACTCAAGTCGAGGCTCGGCATGCTGTACAAATGAATGATGAACCTGAAAACTATCTTCTCGCAAAACAAATTTCAATTAGACTATGCTGTTGTCGTCCTCATCTATTCTAAATTAGTTCGACTGCTGGACGCGCGTGTAGCCTACCCCTCCCACGACTGATGGCCACCGGCTCAATCCGTAGACCAACAAGATATATATACAGCATACTGCTGGATTACAGCGAATAATCAACGCTACTTGACACTGACAGTAGGGGGGGACCGGGGGCAGAGTTGGCTTGAAAATATAAATCGGCGTGTTTTTCCGACGGTCCCGCTCTTGTACAAGCCTCCCGGCCCCCCAACCCCGGCAGAGCACAAGTGGTCGCGTCATGAAGTCTACGAGACCTATATCAGCGCCAAGGGGGCTGCATGGCCTCATGCTGGCGCTGTGTACTCTGGCAAGCCAGCCGTGTGGGGCGTTTGTTTCCTTTCCTGTGCCCTGCAAGTCAGTTGGTCGCGGTGCGCATGGAGCTGGTGTTGGGCTTCACGCTGGCGCCGTGGATGTATTGGGCGAGGGTGCGGCGCTCGCTAAGTTCAAGAGACTGCAGGTATAGCCTACTTGTGCATATGTTACTCTGCGTGGCGATGCCCTGTTCACAGTTCATACACCCTCGAAGTATGTATGTGTCTGGTGTTGTTGGTTGTTTGTTTCTGGTGTTCGCAGCACAGGTTCTCCTTGTTGAACCTCGTGAAACAACGGGCGGTCCTCCTGCTTCGAACCAGATGCGACGTTTTTTACAAGGTATCCATTTATTGCGGGATATAACTGGTCCCTCCGGCGGTCTAGCGGTTAACCTCGAAAATCTACTACTGTAGCAGGTTGGAGTGAAAAACAAAAGTTCGTAATTTTTTGCGGCGGAGGTTGATTGATTCGTGAGCTCACACCTGCGACCCTCACGGTCGACGAGCGAAAGGGACGGCTGAACCGTTCTCCATCATGTCGTTTGGTGGTGCTTGGATCCATAGGGCGTTTTCCAGGCCCGTGAGTGCACTCTGTCCGCACGCATGTAATGCTTCTTCCGTACCCCCGGGTCTCGCACATACTAATGAGCTACATGCATCGGCTAGCTGACGCCCGGCCATACATGTGAAGCTACAGTACCAATCCACCGTACAAAATATGCGCGGGTGGACATGTGTGAGTGACAAGGATCCTTAGCCCACTTCGCCTGAAAACGAAAAATGCGAAGCTCATCCCTCTTTCATAGCGCGCCCGGAAATATACATATTTTAGGTTTTGTCATTTGTTCGGCTAAGTTGGCTGATCTGCTCTTTGTGTGCACTCGTCCCTTTGTCTCGCCTTTGCTGCCTGGTCTACAATCAGTCATCTCCCCTCTCTTTTGGCCGCAAGCGTCCATTCAACGCCAAAAGGCACCCGCCAAGTTGCTGCTACCCACTTTCTGGTATCGCTCGACGGTAAACAAAAAACAATCTGCCGTGACATTTTTTCCCACCGCCTGCCCGTGTATACAAGATGATACTTCGAAGTATGTGTTTTCCCTACGACAAGGAACAAACACCGACACCTTTTCCCTCAGTCAGTGTCAACGAGGTGCAACAGCCCCACCAAGTTGGAGATTTTTTGTTACTACTGTCATATGCTTATTTCCGATGCACTTAGTCCGAATCATGCCACCAACAGACATTCACGTGCACTGGCGACGCGGTGTAGCTTGGGAAGGTGCCATGTTCGCGTGTCGCCACTAGCGGCGCAAGTAGGCGCTTGGGCAAAGCCGTCCCGTTTAGCCCCCTCGAATGGCGAGGGAGAAGGGGTAAGCAATGAGATCATCGCCATTGTCTCTGGAGTATCACAAGTCTCGCCGCTGTTTGTTGTCTGTCGTTTCCGGATCGGCAAACTGGCGCATATTCACGACTCGATGCGAGCCTAATGAACCACCATTTTTTTTTGTCGGACCAATCGTTGTTTTAACAGTCTTTTCCTCTTGTGCTGCTGCTACTGATGCTGCTGCTGCAACTGTTGGTGTCCAATGTTCAGACCCAGAGCGATATCCGGGGGGTTTCCATGGAAGGGGTGCCCAAGGACAAGGCAAGCAATCGAATTTTCCCGCTCTGCATTTGAAGAACTTGGCTGCGTAAAGTCTTCGGTATATTTTGCGGAAAGATGATGTTCTCCTGGAGTGTTCACGGTGGTGTAGCGCTACGTTCTTCAGCCTCTACTAGCTGGTCAGGTCTGGCTTCGGCCGAATGCTGTTATTTTCTGGTTGGTCATCCTTTCCTTCTTCGTGCGTGCTGTCAGGTTGATCTTTCGACCGAGGAGGCGTACTGCATAGGGGTGGGCTTCAGGTTGTGGCTCCGAAGAAAAGGTGGGCCTCTTCGACGTGCGCACAAAGTGAGTGCTATCTCTCACTCGCACTTCGTGTTTGTCTGTCCTTACCAAAGACCGTGATAGTCTACTATATAATGTCTGACTTCTGTACACGTTTAAAACCTAGAGAGCGTTGTCAGGGTTGTGGGAGAACAACAGCAGTTTGGCGACTGCCCACCTCATCCCTGTTACACGATAGAGCTCGTTTCTAATTCCTTCGGGCCCACACTTCTATTGCTGCTAAAACATTCCAAAGTCGACAGCATCGACGACCCACTCCGAGTCAGCGTGGGCAGAGATCCTCGGCTGAGTGGAGAACAGTTATCCCAGGTGTGTACCGTTTAGGTCGATTGGACCCCATCTTTCTTCAGTAGGTCGTACCGGCCGATGCTGGGCGTGCGATGCGTATGTGATCCCGAGTGCACGTCTTTACCCCGGCGCAGCGTCACGTCTACTCCCCAAAGCTTTGACGTCTGTGCTTGTACTTTGCAGCCAACCTCTGCACACGAGCTCGTTCGTGTTGGGGGTTGTGGACGGTTGCGCACCACATAGTTAATAACAGTCAGAGGTTGCGTCTTTCGTCAAGGTTTACAAAACCGATAAACAACGAGCGCCCTTCCAGCTCCTGCCGTGATAAGGTCCTACTGTCTTGCTGAGGGTTGCCCCCGTTGTGCTCGACTGTGATTTCTTTTTTGCGTGGAGGCCATCATTGGAGGGATGACCTCGCAAGAAGGTGGCTGCATTGTCGCGGACTGTGGGCTTTGCACCACTCCAGCAATGTTCATGGTGAGCAGTGGTCATGCGAAATGTGCCAAGCTGATGTACACCCGTACTTCGAGAAAATCGTCTGTTTCCCTTATGCCAACATCTCAACAGATCGAGCAAGTAGGACTAATATGGAGGAAGCTGTGCATGGTTGCCTAGTGTCGTTCGCACGTGATCATTCTTGTGTGTCGCATGCGGGGTTTGCGTTCGGAGACTTCACCTACCAAGGTGTGTGGAGAGCAAGGTTACACAACCGGTAGCCGTTGGGTGCCAAAGACAAAAGCCACAACAACATCAACAACAACCACGCCCAGAATCGTAGCTGTATCGAATACAGCAGTCCGACTAAGTTTTTCGACTTTCTTCAATGCGACCTGACGTAACGATAGTAGAATTCTGAACTATCGGGACTAAAGCCACAACAACAACACTGATAACGTCGGACAAATAACGGTACCCGCAGTCATGCGTGACCGAGGGCCACATGTACGATGGGGCCATCATGATCACGGCAAGCCACCTGCCCAGCCATCGCAACGGGTTCAAATTCTTTACCAAGTCTGGGGGATTGAATAATCAAGACATTGCCGAGGTGAGTGTGGCAAGCTTAAATTTCCGCTGTTGCGCCCTGCACATGGCCACCAGTCACCCCAGACGTACGGTGTGAACGTAATATCCAAGAGCCACGTGCTGCAGCGGTACTATATCAGGTAGCCCTCTAACAAAACGAGATCTGTTGCGTCGAGTATCCCGCCAGCGCTCCATGAGAACCCGGGTCCGCAGACAGCACGTATCCTCTCCCGTGCAATTGAGCCCGTCTTGCCTTGCTTTCCAGATCGTGGCGCTAGCAGCGGGGCAATATCAGGACCGAAATTTCGAGGTGGCGGGGCCACGTGAGGGCAGCTGCACCAAGGTAGAAACTTTGCGGGTCGGGTTGTTTACCCGGCGGTATATACATACGTGTGATGCGCGGGCGTTGTGCCCGGAAACACTAATGCCCAACTTCCAGCTGTTCCTCGTTCTGATGCTTCGGCTTCCCTTCTCTCTTAACATTATCCTAGGGTTCGATACTTCGAGTCCCACGTTGTCCGTGTCAACGTCTTGATTGATGTTCTCTTGATCGTATAGCTCGTAAGCATTGCGCCACCGGGTGATTTCGAAGGTTTGACGTTCAACTAGTCTCCTATCTACCATACAATGCCCCGTTTGTGCATTCAGACGGAGTTCCTACCGGTGTACCAGCAGCAACTCAAAGACATGATCATCGATCAAGTCGATATGAAGGGGCCGGCCCGTGACAGACCGCTAGAGGGTCTAAAGGTGGTCGTCAACGCTGGCAACGGGAACGGCGGGTTCCTCGCCGAAACCTTGAGCGAGGTGAGGACCGTTCACATAAAATGTTTCGTTATAGGCCACATGCAACTGATGAGTCGTGATGTAGCTGAAAAAAACTGACACCATTCGACATGTAGCGCCAACCTCCCACGACACAGCAGTCAATGCGACCTTAACGCTATGACCGCCAAGGACAGTCTAGACTGTGCTGAGGGCTACCTTAGGCGGTGACATTGTGGGGTACGAAACTAAGAACCAATGCTGTGTGCTTTGGAACCGGGAAGGCTGTCCAACATTTGACTTGGCTTGAATACCAACTCTTGTTCCGACACGTTTGTCGAACTGAACATGCTTGTGCTGCTCCGCTAACTTGACTGGGTTTCCTTCCCGCCCTCGTTGTGTGCTGTCTGTCGGGGCTCGTACGAGCAGCTGGGTGCAGACACTGGAGGGAGCGTTCACCTGGAGCCAGACGGTACATTCCCGAATCACCTCGCAAACCCCGAGGTGATCCGTGTGTTCGGTTGTAAAACGATAGAGGACGTGTTTAGGTGTTGCTGTTGCGGTCGGGCATGTGCGTCTTGCAGGTTGTCTGTCTCTCGGGCCCCCAGCCTGACATCATGTGTGGCGGTGTTTTGATCGTAGATACAGATATCGTCCAAGTTTGATGTTCGCTGGGACGGAAAAAGTTATTCGGTCAGGGTCAACCTTGTGCTACCAGCTCTTTGCGGCCAATGTAGCTCCCCAGCCCTTCGTAGTCCTGCCAAAGATCGACCCGTACTTTGTTCCAAATATTTACAGCTCCCACAGGCTATGGTACCGACTATCGAGGCTGTCCAAAGCGTTGGAGCTGATCTGGGCGTCGTTCTGGACACGGATGTAGACCGGTCAGGGGTGGTGGACAGGAGCGGGGAAGCCATTAATCGAAACCGGCTGATCGCATTTTTGGCGACGGTAGTGCTACGTGACAGCCCGGGCACAACGATCGTCACGGACTCAACCACCTCCAATGGGCTCAAGGTTAGTATGTCCCCCATCGGGGGCATATCGACAACACCACTGCCTGCGCAACTTCAATTGTCGGCGCAGCCCTCATATGTCACTTTCTTCTATCGGTTCGGTTGTGATCATGGCGGCGGGAGAGCTTTCGCGAAGGCTAGACACGGTCGTTCCACCTCGCGGTTGTTGGCCGCACAAGTGGGGGGGGTTCGCTCTGGACGATGAAATCGATTGTTGACGCTTCATGATTCGGGTTTCTTACGAGTTCGGTCGGTGTGTGTTCGAGGTAATGTGTGGACCTGAGCAACTTTGTGTGCTGGGAACGTTTTCGTCGTTCTTAGAAGCGACGCCCTGGGGGCACGTGACGCATGCACGCATTGGCATCACGTGCCAATGAGCCATCATCTTGTGCCATCTTGTGTGTCGTTCGCTACCTGTGTCCCCCGTTGCTCATAGAAATTCATCGAGGCGCGTGGGGGGGTGCACTTGCGGTTCAAGAAGGGTTACAAAAACGTGATCGACAAGGCCATAGAGCTCAACGAACAGGTGCGAGCTTTGAATCCTTCTGTCCTGTCGTGGGATGAATATCTCTATCCCGCATGCACTCGAAAGAGCGTACCATGGTATGATATCATACTGGAGTATCGTTTTTTCGACGTCAATGACCTGTCATAGTTGCTCAGATTTATCTTGGGTAAATATGTACCCTGTTGGGGTAGGCCCTGTAGTGTAGGTGAAGCTTTTTTTCGAGTCGACCCAGCTTACTCTGTTGTATTATCATCTTTCCATGTCGAGTGGTCGACCGCAACTGAAACGTTTTGTGCAGACGTGAGGTGTGCACCCAATGCAATGTACAGCAGTAGACATTGGAGGTCTGGTAGTCGCACGGTAAACGCACGTGCCTGTGGCAAATTCTGTCGTTTCAGGCCTGACGAGATATTTCGCTTTCGACTTGAACGAACAGGGAACAGATTGCCAACTTGCGATCGAAACATCGGGGCACGCTGCGTTCAAAGAAAACCATATGCTTGACGATGGGGCCTACCTGGCACTCAAGGTTTGTGCGGATATGCTGCTGGTTGATTCCTTTTCCGAATCGTTGCTAGATTCTGCATGGCGAATGTAGATATTCATCGTGTTGCTGTAGCGGCCGCTAGTACGCGGGGAGGATGGTCTTTATTCTGAGGCGCTATTGCTCCCTGTAGAAACGGTCTAACTTGGCTTGTCTTTGGAGCACATCCAACTTCAGTATCGAAGGGGGTGTTCAGAGCATGATGACTTGATGCAGCGGCAGAGTTCATCACTTACCTGTTTTCTCCTCCGCTGTGTGTGCTCCCCTTGCCGAAAAACATTCAAGGTGCTAGTGGAGATGGCGAGGCAGGGCAAGGGCGTGGATCTTAGCGGATCTATTAAAGATTTGGCAGAGGTGAAACGGGTTTGGAACGGTCGACGTAGTGCATGTGCCTGTTGCTGCCAACGGCAACCCGACACAGCACATGTGGAGCGTGTCATTCGGTTATCTTGTTTGGATAGGAAAGTATTAGAAGGAGAGCGGGTAGAGTGTTTTCTTGTTGTTCTTGCACAAGGATGACCATACAGTACGGGCCCGGAGATAAGAACGCAAAATCGGGTCGAGGCTCATTTTCTTTTTTCATCACCACTGTCAACCACAGGTATCATACAGAGTTGAGTGTAGGACCCACCGCCGAGCTTTGTTTCTTAACCCTTTTTTCTTAGTTTTCGCGAATGTTTGAGCCACTGTTTCTAAACAAAATATGTCGTAACTGCGGGCCTGTACTGTAACACTCCACACCACACTGCGCCCATATCGCCATTTCGGTGAACAACCTTCCGGCAACCCCCAGACGCTGATGTTGAGCCTGCCTTCAGAACATGCCCATTGTCGGTGTGTACAACAGCCCATCTCCTCCGATGCATGTGCGCCCTTGCTTGTATATCTTTCACCTCGGCAACATTAATTGCTCTTCTCTTCTCCCACCTCCGTAGCCGCTGGAATCGACCGAATTCCGTTTGAGGGTCTCGGATTCCGTCGAACCAGCAACGATGTATGCAGCAACACTCAAGGCAACAGAGGTGAGCAAGGTACAACAGCAGGTTTCAAGGAAACTTAGGAAACAAGCAAGGTCGTCCAGGAAGGGTCATTGAGGGGCATGATCTTGCGCTAAATTAGAAAGCTCTCGAAAACTCGAAAGTTGGTGGCTGTTGTTAAAAGCTAGCAGGTAATGAGGAGCGCGATTTACTGCAATTGCAATACATAAGTTGCGTGTATCATGCTATAGACATCCAGATCTCAAAGTCAGGATGTTGAGATGTAATGCGTTGCATTGCCCAAACTTGACGCATCTAGAACGAGAACAGCAGTATTGGTTGCAGAGGAGGTGAAAATCGTGTTGTTTACCTGCTATCGCCAGTATTTCGAGAGTTAATAACTAATGTGTACATGCAGGGGTTTCCTTGTGGTCGTTGGTTTGCTTGGACAACTCAGACAAGGGTATGTTGGTTTAGCGTAGAACACTGTACCGTTCGTTGTTCGGATCTCAACGCATCGCGGCTCCTATCGCCCATCTTCATTGCGAGCAGGCTGCGGCTGCCACCGTCAGTGACTGGCAGGCCGAGGAAACAAATTTCGAAGGTTTGAGGGTGAAGGTGGATGAAGGCGAAGGTAGTGAGGGGTGGCTGATGAACCGCATGTCGCTGCATGAGCCTATCGTCATCTTCAACGTCGAATCGGTGAGACTTTCAGACGTATTTAATAATCTGGGCATTTCAGGAATGATGAGATAGCGTGGTTTGTGATTTTAGGTGTGTTCATGTGTTGTCCTTTCTATCGATGTGCGTTAAAGTGCGTCCTCGCCGTTTACGCGGGCTTCAGTTGCTTACAAGAGTCTGGACACAAAATTTTCGCTCTCGGCTAGAGCTCAACCCCCATGTTTGCGAATCTCAGCCATACCAATGGCCGTTTCCCTTAAAGCGTTCGTTCGGCTTGCATCTTGATGCCCGGGAGAACCTCTGTAATGATCCTTTTGTATCTTTGCCCCTTGGTTTCCTCTTTGCATCAACCTTGCGCGGTTACGCTACACGCGTCATAGGAGGTGGAAGGAGGAGTAGCTGCTATCGCTGCTAATCTGCTCAAGCACGTGCTCGAACCGCTTAGAGGGGATCTAGACCTTTCTTCGCTCGACAAGAGCGCGGCGACCGCAGCGAGTCACTAGATCGCAGGTTTAGCAACCAGAGTGCGCTATCGATCCAGGGACAAACAGCTTTCACAACATGATCGCATATTCCGGGGACTGGTACATTACTGTTGCGGTCGCTGCTTCGGTATTCTATGTGTCGTATGAGTGAGCTCAATTACAACCGGTGCCACGCTGTAAGCAAGCTGAGTAGCCCATGACATCGCACAACATGTGCAAAACCGGGTTTGCAACTGAGTTGTGCCAACGCTTTCGGTAGGCGTGAAGTTACATGATTGGAAATAACGGCATAACGATCATGCGGAGGGTGGTATAAACCCTTTGCATTTATACCAAGTTCGATGGAGTGGTGATTACGCGATGCACAAAACTCGCAGTGCCGAGGTCGCACACATACACCCCAAATAGCGCCACTTCTCAAGCTATCTCAAACATGTCATTCAAACAAAAAGATACGTTCACTTTTGGCAGACCTCGCCACCAACTGCATTGATTCAACTGAACTTCGGAGGACACACAACGCCTCGAATTTTGTCCGTTGCTCTGTAAACTACTTCGAACATCCAACGGCACATATTCCAATCTTGCTCCCCCCTTCGCGTCGAGTATCGCCTTGCGGGGATTGAGATATATACATACATAACCCGTTCGACCATACTGTTGATTCCACTACTCTATTTGGCGAACTACGCTTGTTACGCCCACTGCTTGAGGAGGGTCCCTTTCCCCGAGAACCACTTCCTCACAAAAATTATCTGGCCAATCCCAACGAGCAGGAGCACGATAGTTTCCAGCACCGAGCTTTGTACCATGCTCGCATTGTTGTCTTCGGCAGCTGCGACAATCGTGGGGCGAACGGTGCAAACTTGGGGGCGTAAGAGGGGCGTTGCATAAGATAGAACTGATCACAGTTGGTTTGCCTATGCAGTACTCTCTTGTTGGAGGACACGCACAGCACACGTCCCACACCAGGCGAAGATAGAATCCGAAAAAAAACACAGCTCATGTATGAGTGTTCCGCAAGAAGAAACACCGCAAGCTTCTTACCCGTCTTCCGTTGCGTGAGCTGCATGCGTTCTAGCTCCTGGAAGCTCTTGATTTCCTCGAAAACCTTACTCAACCCGTCCATTTCTTTCGTGATGATGGCCAGGTCTGAGACATGACGCGAAAGAGTGAAAACGATCAGTCTTCTATATCAAGGTCGTGCATAGAGAAGAGATACACATGGTAACCATTTTGAAGTTATAGGGACGGAGTTCTCGTCCATCGATATCTGACACACGTGAGGAGTGTACAGGTTGGCATGCATCAGTGGAAGGGGGGAGGCGCAAGCAACAAAAACTGGAATGATGCGATTGGACGATGCTGAATTTTCGTCTGTGTGAACGCATGAGAAAAGCGCTGCGTACATGCTTCGTCTGGCAAAATTTGGAAAGGTGTTCCAGCACTACAGTCGAGGACAAAACCTCACCCTCCTTGTTCTTCGGACTTCCGCCGGCGTCCTGCAAATCCGTGGTGTCGTCTTTCGCGTGTTTCTTCGTGGCGCCGTCTACATGCACAGCAACGAGAGCGGGAAAAGGTCAAATTCGCTTCCACGGGGGTAACGTAACGCGATAACCATCATTCCACGCATCATCACCAGGCAACTGGTAAATGAGGAGCTACTTCTTTATTATACCTGTCAAGCGGAACTAGATAGCTTCCCCAAGCAAGCTCTACAGCAATTAGCAATAAAAACGCACCTTCAACCACCTCCGAAATGTCCAGCATGACGTGCTTGGCCTCTTGCGCGTAAGACTTATCGTTGGACAAGCATATCTCGTACTCTCCCTTCTCAGCATCGAACTGAAGCATGCAGCATGGGATGAAAGAAGCGTAAGAAGCATGCCGCGAGGCGGGAGAGCTGCACAAGACTCTGTTTCATTTTTTTCGTAGCTGAGGTGAGTCAACTTCTGTGAGCTGGTCAAGCTGTCTTATTCTGCGGGACTACACTGTATTCGTTCACCGGCCAGTTTCCACATGCCTTCAGGGCTTCAGAGACACCCTTGGTCACGTACTCCCCTCGGTCAAATTTGTAGCGTTTCGTCTGCGGCGCGACTGCAGGTAACTCGTGATAAGGTAGGTTGAAGCGGAAAGACTGCTTTGGACTTTGCTCATCTGCCCCAGCCTGACATACGTTGTGCTGGAGCGTGACCCACAAACAAAACAACCGAACCCCGGGTGTCCTACATCCTTCGACATTCAAGGGGCAAGGGGATGTGGGCAAACGTGCGCCGAACCAGCGGTTCATCAAGATGGAACTCCTGTCTTGACACCTCGAATCGGCCTGCAGTGTAGCCATATATATGCGCGGGAGCTGCCTAGAGCCTTTAGGAAAATCCCCACAACTATTTCAAACAGCCATCACGAGTATATACAAACCCGCAAGCATTTGATATGGACCGACGCCGGAGCCCTTATCTTACTACAGACATACACACGCCTGTACAGTGGGAGAAACTACACACAAGACTGCTGTCAAGCCAACGTGTGTGTGTGTCTTCGTCTTTTTTATTATGGCTATTGTACAGTCCCCCCATTTTTCGTGGTGAGACGTGTACGACACTTTCCAGTGGATGTGTAGCGTGCAAGACAAAAAGGCCCACCTTATAATCGTATCCTGAGAATAGTTCTGCCGAGTCGTCATTATCCTCAAGAATGTTTTCCGATGTTATCTTTGCTGATTTCCGAAGCTTTAACTTCGTTCTGCCGTGTACTACATTCCCGCGATCATCGAGCTGAGATGGCCCGCGCACCTGGTGTCAAGAACATGCACCGACGTCAAGCAAGGGAAGCAGCACATCGCGTAGAACAAAAACTGTACTTGCAACAAACGAAAACATGTAGGTACGATGTGCGAGCTAGCATATCAATAGCGGTGTCACGGGCTCCAGCTTCTCTACCCCAGGTTTCATGCCTACCTGCCTTTTTTGTCCCCCATTCCCCAAGGCAGGCGGGCAGGCTCGTTTGCTATTACTACAGCAGTACCGGGCGTCGTGGTTTCAACCACTGTGTTTGAAGTAGATACGGCAGCAGCTCTCGCCGGTCGTTGTGGCTCGCTCGTCTTATCGCCGATGAGCGACGCAGCGGCTGCTGGCCCTCCTTGCTCGGCAGAGAACCACACGCGTCTATGTCGTTGATTACACTGCCGTATGCTATGTCGCACGCGCTCGCCCCCCGGTACACAAGGCGCTGGTATGCATAGAATATTAATACAAGTATTTGTATTCTACAGTAGGAGAATCGGAGAACGCGAGTGTGCGGCGTATATAACCTGCTCACCGAAAACCCAATGTCGAGGTTCCCTCCCTTGAAAACGAACACCTGGAGAGCATAAAAACAGGGAGAGGTTTGTCAGCAGATAATGCCAGCAGATAATACTTCCAGAAACTGGCGCGTAGATAGTTACAAAGCGTATACACGCAGTGTGGAGAGCGAGAACATCACCCACCTTTGCTTGGAGCTTCGTCTCCTCCTCCACATAGCGGAAAAAACAGACTTGTGCACGCTCCTCAATTAGATACGTCGAGGCTGCAGTGGCTGACACACAACAGAGCAAGAAGACCAGCACATGTGCACTTAATGCATTCATCTTGTGTGGGTCTGCACGGTGAAAGCACTACATCCGAGGGGTAGCTGCCTCTGCTGTCTGTGCTCTGTGCCACGATTTCTCGGCTGCTGTTCCTCCCAATTCCTCCCAATTGCTTGAAATTGCTCCGCTTGCCGCGTCTTCCTTCCCCTCCCCCCTCCCCCCCAACCCCGGTAAAAAAGTGGCCCTCAAAAACCGAATCTCCGATATATCCACACACATGAACACATGTTGCAGCTTGGGGATGCGGTAGCGAGCACTCTCTCCTCTCGCGGCGTGAACCGAAGACCATGCACACTACCTTTTGCGCGTTACTACTGCTATTCTCTGTTTTTGTTTCCGAGGTGCTGGGTTTCGTGACGTACAGCAGCAGCAGCAGTATTTGTAGCAGTGCCCGTAGACCCGCGAGATGCAGCAGCAGGTTGAGCAACGATGAGAGCGGCGAGGCTTTAGAGCAGGCCGCGGCAAAGCTCAGGAAGGAGGTCGCTGATCTTGAAAAGGAGCTGGCGAAAGGTCAGAACGCAGTTGGTGTGGCGTGGGATCGGGAAATAAAAAAAATTGTACATGTACCTTTGGGTGTGGCGTGTACACGGAACGGTACAACTGCAAACTGCTGTTGTGTAAACAGCAGCAAAGGGGCTTGATATGCTTATACGGCGGTGGTGTGGTGGTGAACATAACCGCCTTATATTGTATCGAACAGGAATCGAGATAGCCTCATTAGGGCGGTGAGCACCTTATTCAGGTCAAACCAAGAATGACGCGCGCAGCGTATGTATGTAGTGGTTATCACCTCACGGCGCGTTGTCGCGAGTGGAAGAGGATGGCCAGCACCGTGCACTGCTGTACACATGTATATCGACCCTGGTCACTTCAATCGTTTGAACCGCATGCGTTCAGCAGCGGTACGTACATCCGATGCCAGCAATACAAGAATATATATGCTCTTGTGTCCCGATGCGAGAAACAACGACTCTGTCACCTTCGTGAAGAGTACAACTACATAATAGTAGCCAACAAGGACCATCACGCAATTTGAAAAGAAAGCGTGGCACACAAGAACCATAAATATTCTGCGTCGACGACGCTTGGCCCCTGGGTACGGGTCAAGCACTACTTCCTGCTTCCCCCGGGTGCTTTTATCTCTGAAAATACATTCGCCTTCAAGAATCCTCCCATGCCCCACTACCGCACGGGTTTGATGCGCTACGTGATACGTGTTGTTTTCACTTCAAGCCGGGCGTTGTATCCTTCGCCCGCTCAGTTGCCTTGCCTCAGAGAGGAACATGCACTTCATAGAGGGCGTACTGATGCCAAAATGAACATCGCCTGATATCGGTTTTGGGATCGATAGTTACGCCTTATACAGGGCCCGACCCGGTATGACCGCCTTATACCTGGTCTGAGCTGTGGGAACAAATTTCGGCCGCCTTATATCGGGTATACCTCTTTGCAGCGGCCCCCCTGCTGCGTGTATTTCGTCAACGTCTACCTGTCGGGTATGCACTGATCATGAACCTTATGAACCGTTGCGTGGCTGTTCATCCCTGGCGTGCTAAAGGCAAAAAACAAGATGAAAACTTACCGCCAGAGACCGCTCCTGACCTGGAAATGCCATCTTCCCCGTTCAGCCTGGCACCGAGCCGCTGGCTGGTGATGATGGATATTGGGCGAGAGAAGGGGACTTGGATGCCCCAAAGTTGGGGTAGAAGTGGGAGGTATGTCACGGCTCGCGTTCGAAAGGAAACCTTCTGAAACCTTGCGACCGTGTCTATGTACCTAACGTACGTTCGGCGTCGGCACAAAAGATGTGCTGTCCGAAGTCAGGCCGGCGGACACGAAATCCTTGTACTCAACCTGACTCACCCTCCCGCTGTACCGACCTCACCCATGCTTGGATCTTATCTTCCGAAAAAGGAGAGTGGAAGTGGATTTGCTCCTGGAATTTTTACCAGGAGGAGATATGAAAGCGGTCGTCGACAGCCCCTTCGTTGATATGACAGTGACACCTGGAAAATGGAGCGTGGGCGCAGCACAGGGAAAACCTCGGCGGCGACCAACAAACTCCTTGGGTGAGAGTCTGACGTAGGTTAGGGTGTGAGCTATGTGCTCACAATCGTGCTTGTGCCTGGGACATTGTTTGGCATTTTGACTGCCATGGATCGTCGTATTGATTTCTCTACCAGGAAGCCTGACGTCGGACACATGCCGGTTTTGGGTGGAGACGGACGGGTTCGGCAGGGGCGATGTGACGATTCCTGCTGGCCGGATCTATTTCGCCGTGCCGGCATGGGGTGGTAAACTGTCGCGTAAAGGGCTCGTGACTGTCCGCCAAAGGCGGTGAGATGGGTTGTGTTTGTTCATCTCACTTGCGCGGTGAATTTAAAAGTGCATTACATTACAAATGATACCGGACGCGCTGTGTATTTTTAGCGCGCTGAAGTTCGTGAACATACAGAGTAACTGTCGCCATCGTTCTCTGGTACCTTCCATGGTGTTTTCATTCTAACCTCGTTTCTCTTGTTGTGTAAACCTGAATCCTTGCACGCGACTGTTCAAGGTGGTTGGTGCGCGAGGAGTCGCGTATTCTGGGAGTTTTCGGGACGGAGCTGCTTATTCCTGACGCTGAAGGGCGATTGCCACCAAGAACTCCTCGTCCTCGGACGCCCCCATTTCCAGATGGTTTCAGGGATGGTTGACATTTGGTGTCGGAACGGATGGCATCGTCAAGCACACATTGGAGACATGCAGCATTATAATCATTGGTCTGAGTCTATTTTTGTTATGGGCGTCCTACAGTGTCGTGGCACAAGTTATAGACACGTGTAAACAGCAGCTCAAATGCCCTTGAACCTATTGGAGGAACCTGCGGTACATGGATGTGCAACGTTTCCTGTTTTTGTTGTTTTCCATTGAAGTGCTGTGTCATGTTATCAAGAACACGAGACACACCAGGGAGCCAAATGAGGTGTTCTGGCGCCATCTGGGAGGCTGAACCATTTTTCGGCCGACCAGACTCACCATCTCACACATGCAGTGGAAACGAAAACAACAGGGCATTACGTGTACTGCTTATTCAATATTTGGATCTAACCCTACCGCGTACAGCTGAAGTCGAGAAAAACAAAGGTCAGAGCGGCCGTAGAATGCGTCCCCGCTACCCTCGACGGTGAAACCGTGAAAACGTGAAAATAAGAGAGATGGTTGGTTGTCGTGGTACCAATTAACCTCCACAAGCAGGATGAAGAGGAGGCTAGCCGGCAACGAGCGCTCAAACGAAACAGCAAGCCCGGCAACAGCACGGACATGGCAACAACCCATGGGGCGGGAGGGGGGCAGCAGACGGACGAGACGGCAAGGGAAGAAAGCAAACGAGAAGAGGCGGATCGAGTGGCACGACATGTGCCGTGTTGAACCCCTTGGTTGACTAATCCCCCCCCCCCCATCACTACCCCCTGCCGGTGTTTGCCATCGGGGTTTGGGTTTTCGTCGCTTGGCAACGACGTTGTAAAACAAGCCCCCCACTCGGTGTTTGCCATCGGGATTGGGTTTTCGTCGCATGGCAACGACGTTGTAAAACAAGCCAATTCACTTCGTGAACTCGGCAACCAGGTTACCGTTTTTTTTTTTTTACCTCTGTTTTTTTTTTTGGCGGTAACCATAATGGTAGTCGAGTAGATCATGTTGTGCGGGGTCGAGAACCCTCACTCCGCGCAACGGGGGATGATCGCACCACGTTGTGTTAAAACGGTCAAGCTTCCTCGAGGCAGTTACACAGTGCTTACAACTGTCTCTGGAAGTGAAAGCACCAGAAAATAAATTAAGTCATACGTAGCTGTCATCCGTACGCAAGGAAGTAAGCACAAGATGCCGAACACCCTTAGCAGGATGCAGCTCACCCTTCATGCGACTCGCCAAATACCTCACGGCGCTTCGCGCTTGGTGATGTGAGAGCCTGGTCCGGTGAAAACCCG